AGAGTTACAGACTCTTTAATGGAGAACTAGTCATATTTTTAAAACTTGGAGAAGACTTGGGTTCAACTCTGCTGCCCTGAGATCTCTGAGCTAGCTGTTGAATTTATCTGGACAGGCTGGATTGACAGGCTGAGGACAGTTGTATGAGGCTCAATAAGGCCAAGTGTTGGGTCCTGTGCTTTGGCCACAACAGCCCCAGGCAGCACTACAGGCTTGGGGAAGAGTGGCTGCAAAGTGGCCCAGCGGAAAAGGACCTGGGGGTGCTGGTTGATAGTGGCTGAACATGAGCCAGCTATGCCCAGGTGGCCAAGAAGGCCAGTGGCATCCTGGCCTGGATCAGCAATAGTGTGGCCAGCAGGCGCAGGGCAGGGATTGTGCCCCTGTACTCAGCACTGGTGAAGCCACACCTCAAATCCTGGGTCCAGTTCCAGGCCCCTCACTACAAGAGGACACTGAGGTTCTGGAGCACGTCCAGAGAAGAGCAGTGGAGCTGGTAAAGGCTCTGGAGCACAATTCAGGAACAGCTGAGGTAAATGAGGGTGTTTAGCCTATATAAAAGGAGGCTCAGAGGGGACAGTATCACTCTCTACAACTGCCTGAAAGGAGAAGTCAACAGAGAACTAAGGGCAAGCATGGACAGTGATGGCAAGCATCAGTGATGCTCCTGTAAGCACAGTCCCACGTCATTGATTTGGTCCAGATTTACACCCCCAGAGCAAATAAAGTAACAAGTAAAATGTACAGAGGCAATGATCATCCACAGAAAACACTGCTGCAGCTTCTTCTAGCTTTTCCTCACAACTAGTCTCCTTCCTAAATTGTACAGTTGAAGTTTCCAATTAAAATCTTTTGGAGCAGAATAAGTCAGCAGGTTTTTGCCTTGCAGTGCAGCATTATGCAGCATGAAGTCCTGGGCATAGTCCAGCACATTCAGTGATGGGTCTTGTCTGCGGACGGGTGGGTTAACTTGGTGTATTATTTGCACACACAATACACAATGTGGAGACACACTGCTACCAATTACCAAACACTGCTCATCTATTCTAAGGGAAGTGATCTGGGATATCTCAAGTTTTACAACAGGTTGTTAATATATAAGTAAAATACCTTATTTCATCCTAGGGTTAAGCCCAGAGACTGCTGTGTGCAGCAGATGCTTTCCTAAGGGAAATTAGTGAAACTGCCCAGGAAAGTCCCCTTCATGATTACAAGACCAGGTACTAAAATCATACATCTTTTTTCAGGGATGCTCAGGTTGGTGGGTGATTTTTTTTGTGTCCAAGGCCTTGCGAGACTGTGTTTTGTAAAATCTCGTTATAAGAAAACCATTTTAAAATGGTGAAGTCTGTCTGGGAATTTTACCCATTACACCTCCCAAGAAGCGCTCCTTTGCAGACCTTGGTGTCATGATTTTTAGAAAATACTAGAAATGGCACAGAACACGTGCAACGAACACTATGTAATAAAGCAAACCCGTGGTTTTACTGGCAGTTTCCTCCAGCTTTTCCTATTGACTTATCATCTTTCACGAGTTGCACATCATTCTCCCTATTTCATGGTGCCTGCTTGCTCTGTTATCAAAAATACAGGTATCCCAAAATACAGACAGTTATGAAACACCACATGCCCTAACAAATGTCCATCCTTTTGCCACTCTCCCGTGAGAAGGAAGTTCCCTTCCTTAGGCAAGAAGGCCTGAAGAAGTGCGAGGTGCAGCCTCAGAAGCTGGTGGTGTACTCGTGCCTTGTGCTGGCGCTGGTCTCTGTGTAGCCCCCGGCGTCTTTTGTTACGGTGAAAGCCCTTTCTGCAGCTCGGCGTGGCAGCAGCAGCTTGCAGGCTGCTGCCCTGTACTTCTTCGAAACGAGGTTGTAGAGGACAGGGTTGATGGATGCGCTCAGGTAGAAAAGCTGCAGGGCGAATATATTAAAGTACTGGGAGAACAGCATCGTCCTCATGTCCCGGGTGTTTATAAATATGATCCTGCCAATGTGGAAAGGCAACCAGCAAATTACAAAGGCCAGAACCACCACAGCTATAAGACAAAATAACACATGCGGCAGTTAAGGAGTGAGATAACTTTTCAACCATCCAGTAAACTAAATTTCACGTGGCTGATTTTGCAGGTTTTTCTAACTGATACAAATGATATATAGAAATAATGTCATTAAATTGTTGGAAAACCATGAAAATGGGAATAGCATCAACTGTTAGTCTTTGAAGTAAATGGTAACTGGTAAAATTTTAAGCTAAACTGTGAGATGAGGTTTGCTGAGAAAAATATGAACAACAGTGGAGTAACATCTGTATAATAACATCAGGCACTATACAGAAATCCCCTGTGGCTATGTCTGTAACACCACATATGAGACAGGAAAACAAAAGTCAGAATGAGGAATTTTTGTGGAAGCTCCACAGCAGCTCCATTTGCTGCAGACCTAATATTTAATTTGTCTGCATCACCGAAAAAGACCCAGGCTGCACCTCAGTCACCCAAGCTCCCACAGAATTCGCTCTGTTGTGACGGGATGGTATCTAACATAAAGACTTTATAATGTAGTTGAGCTATTGATTTTTTCCCACTAAAGCTTTTTCATGCATCCCCAGACCATTACTGCTGGAGACAGCTATTTGCCTAGATGGATCTCTAGCCTGAGTCGCTTCAGCTGTTCGCCTGGTCTTGTGTTGCATTTTAGCACAATGAGAACAAATACAAACCCTCATGCAATGGCAACACAGCAGGAGCAGATGAGGAACAATTACATAAGTGTATTACTGTATCCATACTTTTAATTATTTTTGTTTATAAATGCATGTAGCTAAAACAAACAATCATTTGTAGAGCATTCTCTGTGTTTCTCATGGCTTAAATAAAAGGGATGCAGCCAAAGAAAGTTTTCTTATGGAAAACACCACACACTTAGTGCTGCTGGATCTTTGAGATAAGGGGGCAGCGGTCTCATTCAGTGGGTTCTGAGATCATGGATATGGGTGTTTCTGTTGGAAAACCTTGTGCCTACTTCAGTGTAAGTACCTTCCTCAAATAAGTCGGCAAAATTCTCTCAGGCTTATTGGTTTCTTTCCTTTGTGCTATGCTACTTCCATCCAGCTGATTACACTCTCAGTAAAAGAAGTCTCCCATGTGACACGTAAAACTACACTAAAGGTAGGCAATAATAATAATTGGGGCATTTTGTTTTATGTTCCTTAGTCAATAGTTGGATTTCTTTTTTCTTTCCCTTCAGATTGGTCACTACTTACAAATATTAAAGCCCCAAAGCTAACGAAGATCTCTAACTTTCCAGAGTCTGATGCTGGGTTACTGAATGTATGACTAAGAAAATGAACTAAAAATTATCAGCATCCTCCATCTGTAGGAAGTGCTTTGGTATTACGGGATTTGTCTCCAAACAGCTCGTAGGAGCTAAGCTGCTGTTTTTCAGCCTCCTTGGGCAACCAGTGGATTTACTCCTTAGAGCTACAAATGACCACTAGGAACTTAGTTTTCAGAAGCAGAAATTTTCTATGCAGAGGTGTTGCTTCCAACTGGAAGAGACTGCTGATACTGCCACAGTTTTTTTTTCTGAATTGCAGGCTACCTTGTACTTGACTCTGCCTGGTAAAATTCAGGAAACGGGTATTTCTACGGAAGGCAGCCGTGCTGCTGGATGTGCAAAGCCACGCGGGTGAAGCCTCAGCTGGGAGGGAGTGAAATCCCTGCCGTGGCAGCTCCCGGGAGCGTGGCTGGGATGTCCCCCTGTGCTATTCCCTATCCCTGTACGGGAGCTGCGAGTGCTTCAGCGCTGCCATGGCCCCCCAGCCCCGGTCCTTACCCCAGCCATAGCCCGGGGGGGATGGTAGCGGGACTCACCCAAGATCCTGACGGTCTGGCGGTGCCCCTTCTCCCGGAGGAGCGAGCTGGGGCCCCGCAGGCGGGTGCTGCTCCGCCACAGCTCTCGGCCGATGCAGCCGTAGAGAACGCTGAGGCAGGTGACGGGCAGCACGAAGTAGCAGGTGGTGACCCAGAACATGGTGGCCAGCAGGCCGGACTGCAGCGCCTGCGGGGTGGGCTTGCACTCGCGGCTGAAGTCAGTGTGGTTGTCGGGCTGCTCCACGCCGACCAGGAAGAAGAAGGGGCTGGCGGAGAGCAAGGCAAAGGCCCAAAGGACGCCGATGGTGGCTTTCACCCGGCGCTTGGTGACGACCACCTTGGCCTTGAGGGGGAAGCAGATGGCGAGGTAGCGCTCCACGGTGAGGGCGGTGATGTGGAGGATGGTGCAGTAGGTGCAGCCCTCGCTGAGGTAGTGCGAGAGCCGGCACAGCAGCTGCCCGAAGATCCAGGGCCGGGAGCGCCAGAGGCGGTAGAGGTCGAAGGGCAGCCCCATGAGGATGAGCAGGTCCGAGACGGCCATGCTGCCCAGGTAGAGGTTGGTGGTGGTCTTCATGTCGCGGTAGCTGCGGATGACCAGCACCGTGAGGACATTGCCCGCCACGCCGACCACGAAGAGCCCCAGGCAGACGGCCGTGATGGGAACGAGCACCCACATGGGCAGCGCCAGGCACAGCCGCTCGTCGCAGGGCGGCCACGGCCACGGCCACTCGGGCTCGCCCTCCGTGCCGTTCCCGCCGCCGCCGCGCCGCATCCCGCCGGGGGACGCGCCGTGCCCGGGGCAGCGCCGCTCCTCACTCCGGCCCCGCCCCGCCCCGCCCGCGCAGGTACCGCGCCCCCGGCCCGCCCCGCGGGGACGCAGGGGAGCGGGCAGGGGACAGGGAGGGCGGCGGTACGCGCACAGGACTGACCACCAGCAGCGAAAAAGAAGGTACTTTTATTGTCCACAGACTCTTAAAGGTACTTTGCTACATCGTTTTATGTATTTTCTATCAGACTATACAGGTTCGTCTTCATGGAGCCCGACGTTGTACAACCGTAAAGTGATATGTTTGGTAGTGTATCTATAGCGTTTTAAAAACTTTAGAGTTTCTCTTTTTCTTTTATTTATTTATTTTTGGAATGTACAGTATATGAGGTAAAATTAAGATTACATTAAAAACTGTCTTCAATGCAGTAATATGCACTGAGGCTCAAATGGCAAATACACTATTAAATGACTATCAAAAATAGGAGCTCATTTGAATTTTACTATGAAAAACGTAAGTCACTGCAGGTTGCCTGCAGTAACAAATCTTACCGTTTTAGACATTCAACCATAAGAAATCTCTGGGCTGTGACACGCAACCTCATTTGCACTGCCAAACATGGCACTTTTAAGAAGGTTCTAGAAAACATCAGTTATCACGGTATCCTGCGGGAAGGTATCAGCCTATACGTACAAATGACAAATTAGAAATAAAATGTAAACATACAGTACATTTTAAAGACAGATCGTTCTTGCCACGTGGAGGCCAAGTTCTTTGCCATTTCTTCTTTTTTTTTTCTTTAAAAAAAACGAAACTCAGCAACATTATTCTACAGCACAGATCATTGGACGTATAAACAATTACAATACATGCCCGTTCTAATATAAGAGAAATTCTTCAGAGATCTTCAAAGCACAAGACAGAGGTTCCTTTTTTTATTATTATTAAGACTGACAGAAGTGTTTAATACTATTAAAAATGCTAAACTGAACACAACTAGAAGTCATTAATGATCCACTATCTTGTAACTCAAATAAATTAAAAGTAGCTAATTACAAAGTGTATAACAAATAACATAAGTGTGATGAGACAAGGATTTTTTTTAAAGATAGTTTCACTACAAGCTTTGTGTCACTGGCAATCATTGACATCCAGCAAGATGTTCAATGGGATACTTGTTAAAATTCAGTCTGGTCATTCAAGAACTCACAAATGCAAGCTCACAAAACATTGATGAGTTATGCAATTGCAAAGTGCTCTAATGCAACATTAACTACATGCAATCAACAATTTGGTACAGTATCCAAAGAGACATTACATTAAACATTAGGATCTCAAGAAAAAAGCAGCTTTAAGTTTTCTGGTGCAAATTACTACACTTCGTCTTCTGATTTGGTGCCCCAAAGAAAGAAAGAAGAAAGAAAGAAAGGAAAGGAAAAAAGAGAAAGAAAGACAGAAACAAAACAAACAAAAAAAGGCAGTGCTTATTTTTGGTGGATATGGCAAGTGAATGTTGGGGAAACAGCAAAAATTCAACAATGAATTTTATCTCAAAATTCTGTTGACTAGCCAAAATCAGAGGGCACAGACATCTGCATCCAATCAAAGGTCAACTTTGGAAATGTGTTTTTCAATTTAAATAACAAGTCTAAGAAGGTCTCTCACACTCTCCCTTCTATATTCAGAAGAAGTAAAAGAGGCATTTTTTGTTAGTAAACACCAAATCCTGGGGGTAAGATAAACCACTTGTGCCATCTCCTTGTAGTCTTTCAAAAACATCTACTTGCAGTGAAGAACTCCACATTTATCAGATAAGAAGCTTCCTTCATGCATACTCTTCCATCCAGTTTATTATTTGCTGCCTGAGAAAAGCCCCTTCTGTTTTTCAGCATAAATCCTGCTTCCCAAATAATTAAGACAAATGAGGAGGTAGAAATACAGCGCTAAATTGCTTTCACAGCATCAGATTAATATTGTGTACAGCACAAGTTTGTTAGTGTAAGTTTTAAATGCGATCTACACATTCTTCCCTGTTATGTTAGCAACCCTTAGAAGTGTGGGCCAGGAAATCACCTTTACTGCGTGCCTGCATTTACTGGTCAAACCCTTTTCCTTAAACGCTGCGTGCCTGCCCCATATCGAGTTTGTACTGCATGAAGGCATATAAAGAAAAGATTATATTTCTGTGGCTTGCATTTTAATAACATGTGTCAGCCTATACCTACGAATAAGCATTTTAAAGTGGCTGAGAAAGTTTGCATCAGTCCCAATACCGGTGCTAAATGCCTGGTTTTGTAAAAGCAAGAGAACAGAATTACTTTTAGATTATGAGAAAGTAAAATGTAATGGGCAGCATTATAAAATAGATCTCTTTTCTTCACTTTATGACGAAGTACTGAATGATAACAGCAATCAGAATGGAAAAGATAGCAAAAAGTGCAAGGATGACAGCAGCACACACTTGGTCGCTCTGTGACCATTGTGTCCTTGTGGTTTGCACAGTGTCCTTGTTGGTGCTTGCCGGTGGTTCAGTCCTCTGAGAGATGAATAGCACTGGGGTGCTGTAGGGGCCCACCAGGTCCTGGTGACCCGTGGCCTCTTGGCACTGGCGAATGGCACACGCGCGGAATCGGTATTCACAGTTCAGCTGGAGGCCCGTGTATCGGAACGACCAGTCTGGGCCCTTGTAAATCTGGAAATAAGGGGGGAAAAAGGGATCCTTCAAGTAAAAAAGTACTATATACACACATGTATCTTAGTATGGTTTTGTTTATGGTGAAGGTAACTAAAAAGGATGACAACTCACCAGTGTTTTCCCCCATGCAAATAAAAATGGATAAAAAGCTCAAACACACAATTTAAATACCAGATCAAGTCTCCAGTTATTTTGGTGAAACACAAGAACTATGCTTGCTTGTGTGGAATGATGAGTACACACCAAATAAACCCTGTCACAAGCCCCAGCCTTCAGGTGTTTTAGTGACCACTCACAATGTGATGCAATATACAATATTGTATCACGGGATTTTAGGCAGTTAACTCTGTGTCAAGCCAATTCATTTTAAGTCTCATCCAATCCAATGTACTTTGTTGTAGTTATCTGTATTTAAAATGTTATGATTTATCCCAATATCAGGAAAGCCACAGAGTCCTCTTTGTGATTCTTAATTTCATCATATTCCCAAGACAGAGATAACTCGTGAGGGTGCTCTCCAGAGATCTCTCAGTTGGCAGGTTAACATGAGTTCACAATGCTTCAGCATGGAATGCCTAATTCAGTGAAATCTAAATTCTGGTTTCTCAAATTAATTAAATTTGCAGCTATGTAAAGGTTCTGTGAAAGCCAACAAAACCTCACAGGGGTGCAGTTATAGGTACTTCAAAGGTGCGGAGGTATCAGGTAGCACAGCGCAATTTGATTTCTTTCTTTAAACAAAACCTCACAGGGGTGCAGTTATAGGTACTTCAAAGGTGCGGAGGCATTAGGTGAGTAGCACAGTGCAATTTGATTTCTTTCTTTAAAGCCCTTCGCTTTCCCACCTCTAAATATCTGGATTTGCTTTATTTAACTGGTAGCACGATACAGAAATATCACATCATCAGGAGCTTTCCCTACAGTTTCATACTGTTAGACAGTATCCTGAAAATGCACACTAGAAATGTAAAGAAAGGAAATCCCTTCTGATTTTGCTATCCTAAGAGCTCTTGCTGTGCCTGAGGCTACTCTTGTCAGAGTTCTCTGACAAGCTGAGCTTCACTGGAATCTACAACCTAGAGACTTCTCTCTGAAGAGGGGCAGGCCATTGGAAGTGCAGCTTCCTCAAAATGCTGTTAATTTGGATCATGCATTTGGGAGTGAGCAAACAGGCCACTGACACACATCCTACTCCAGCTCCAGCTATGCCAGCTAGCAGGGGTTACCATCCTCAGCTGCTTGTCCCCAGTGCCTGCCAGGAGTTGCCTTCCCCTCCAGTGTGTTTCCTGGGGTATTTACATGGTTGCTTCCTTACCCCTTTAAGATCTTTGACTGATGTATACAGCTCAAACAGCACATTATTAACCTTTATTAACCTACTTTGTCTGTAGCATACTGATGTATACAGCTCAAACAGCACATTATTAACCTACTTTGTCTGTAGCACGGAGGGAGCAATGACATGAGCAATTTGGATGACAGATCAGGAAGAAGGAGGAGAGGAGAGTGATGTTTTGGCAGTGAAATAGCAGGGAACAGCTTAGAGCAGACTTCCAGGTAGTTTATTTTCTGTCTATGTCAAATAAAATTGCCACCATCATGTCTAAGTGTCTTAAAGGCTGTTTTCATACTGTTTCCTTCTTGATTGTTCCAATTTTAATTTCTGCAAATTAAGTCTTTTCATTTTATTCTAATTTACTATGCTAGACTGCTCTGCAGAGGCAAAACCAATCACACACCTCAGTCTACTTTGTTATTACCATACTCCAAGAGCCAACTTTATTTTCTTGCCCAGGTCATTTGGCAACACACACTGATAAAGTGTAATTTAACTCTGTGTCTAAAAGCAACATAGGTACCTACTTAGGTACCTAATGTTGCATTTACAATGTTGAAGTTACAAAAAAGACTATCCACATGGCAAGCCCTTTTGGTTTATGGTTCATCTTTTACTGAAAAATTTAACAAATGGCCATAACAAACACAGTGCTACACTAAAAGTTATGAACATATTAAGGCCTATAATCTACCAAAGCACAGGTGAAAGGTGAAACCTATTTAATATTGAACTATGATAAAATGATAATATACTAGAATTAACTGCTGCTGTCCTGGAAGGAAAGTTCCTTGGCTTATTAGTATGAATCAGTTTTCAAGCCTAATTTCATGTCAAATATCAGGCAGTTTATAAACTGTGAAGCAAAAAAAAAAAACACAAAAAAAAAAAAAAAAACAAAAACAAAAAAAAACAAAAAAAAAAACAAACCCAAAAAAAAAAAACAAAAACAAAAAACCAAACAAAAACCAAAAAACCAAACTGGGAAGCAACAAAGAAAAAAAAACAAAACAAAAAAAAACCAAACAAAAAACAAAAAACCAAACTGGGAAGCAAAATTAGCACTGAATGCAGGATAATTTGTACCTTGGCATTTCAAACTGCTTCTTTGCTCTTAGTGTAAAGAGAACCCTTTGCCCCTTTTTCTCCCCAGTCTCAATTCAGTACCATTAGGTAAAAGATTTCTTTTTGTCAGTTGTTCCATTAGGGGATGACTTCCTCACCACTTAATGTCTCAAGCTGTATTTAGTGAACATCAGTGTAACCCAGAGAGGCTGTAATTTAGTGCAGAATCTCCTTCTGAAATGAAGGAGATGGGTTTAGGAGATATTACCTTATTATTTAGTAACAAAAAGTTAACATGGTGACTAAAACCATGCTGAAACACAATAAGCTTTACTAAATCTAATCTCAACTAGTTTTACCAAACTAGTTATCACAAACAATAATCAAAGAAAACTACAGTAACTTAGACACATCATACCTGTTTGAATTCTGAGTCTTTTCCCACCATGACCTGAAGACAGTAGATAACTGGATCACCCTTCATGGGCTGCAGAACCTCCCATGTGATTTCACAAGTGTGATCGTTTATTCTCTCTATCCTTGGTGCTGAAGAAAGGAAGGAAGGAAGGAAAAGTGACAGCTAAGTCTGCCTTCCCTGTCACATACTGTCATATTCTAATGACCTTTAAAATTATATATTCTACCTCCTATTTTATCTCAGAGAAACAAAAGATGCAGATTCAAATTTATTCTTCCTCCAGTGTTTTCTGGAGCAACAACTAATAATTCATATAGGCCTCTCTTTGTAGTTTAGGTATCATCCAAGAGAAAGCAAATAAAATTTAGTAACTGTAAGTGTGCATCACATACCAAAAAAACCCCAAACAATGCTTAAAATGATTCTAAACATGCTAGAAAGCATTTTCACCTTAACTTGCCACTCTCCCTGTAAGCAGGAGAACTAAGTACAAACTTCTTAGGTCAAAGAATGCATAAGCCCCAAGTCTTCCATTTTTGGAGGGAATATTTTAGGCAACTATATGAAAGAAGCCTTCTCCCACTACCCCTACCTGCACTTTAAAAGGGCTTAATATTCTCAATATCCCAAATACAACACAATACCAAAACCAACCTGCTGTCTTCCCACCCCTCAAATGAAAAAAGAAGCACCCTTACCTTTCAAGGCAGCTGGAACAGATTTGGGAGTAGTGAAAATGTATTCTTGAGAAAGGGGACCTTCACCAGCTTCATTACATGCCTGAATACAAAATTTGTATGATGTTGACTCACTGAGTCTTTGAACTTTGTATGTATGACATGGTCCTCTGTATAAGGATACAAACCTGAAAATGGAACGAGTAGCTTATTTTGAACACAGAAAAGGACTTCTGAAGCAGTATTGTCTTGAAATCTGTTCCCATAATTTCCCAGAATCTAATGAAAAGCCCAGAAACACTTATTTCAGAGTTAAACAGTGTTCTGGCTGCTATAAAACAATAAGCACATTTTCCAGGGGCAAGTTTTTATTTCTCATGTCTTTCAAATAAAAACCTCTTGCACAAAGAATGCTACAGATTCTCTCTTACCAAAAATGTTCCTAAGCATTTTAAGAAACTATTTTGAAACAATAAGAAAAGACAGCAGTTGTGTCTCAACTTGAACTGCATTTTTTTTTTTTTTTTTTTGCTTGGCCATCTACTCCTCCAACATCTTTAGCATTTCAGAATTAGGTAACTAGATTTTAGCTTTTGCCCCTTTGCAACTCTCCCTTACTACACCTAAAAAATGTGCCATGGATCCACTTGCTTTTGTACATCATTGTTGGAGATGGGCTCATGCAGACCTACACAGGAGGGCAGTCACACTTGCAGTGCACACCAAATCTGTTTCTGGGAGTTTTGTACATTGGCCACTGTCCTTCATGTGGCAATTCTTGCACAAACTGATCATGGCAACTCTTGTTTGATTTTCAGTTTTCATGTCTCCAGGACAGCACAAATTTCTCTCTTCCTGCAGGGGTTGTCATCTAGCTTTTTCTTGTCTTTTAAAATTAAAACAGATGGTACCTGCACATGACCTAATCTTTGGGAATGGCAATGAATTTCCTTCCACTTAAACAGTCTAATTTATTTTCCTCCTTACAGCACAGCAATTTCACATAGTGGATCTCTTTTATCTTTTTGTCAAGCTAAAGCTGCTCATCAGACATGGAACACTTTGTAGCAGTACTGCTTATTTTATGATCTGGGCAAGGGTTCTTGCTGTACCACCTCAGCTGACATTCTATTTAACATGAGACAAGGAATCCCTCAAAATAAATTGCATTAATTTCCACTAAAATAATTGCATATAAGGCAACAGAGAGTAAAGCATTCACATCCCTTCCAATATTAAGTATATAAAATTCACAACACTGATTGGACTTGTTACTTTGACAAAATATTTAACCAAAAGTGAGAGGGAAAAGTGTGCTGGTATGAAACACCGCATTAAACACAGTTGAACTGTAAGTAAAAAACAATTAAGTTTTTTGTCTTGCACTTCTCGGCACAGAACACTGGAGCCCTTCTTGCCTTGCCAGAAGAGACGACCTCCTACATCTGCTGTAAATTCACCAAAGCACATGGAATTTTGCCCTTCGCCATCTCCCAAGCATCACACCACAGCGACACCAGGCAGATTAAAGCAAAGCCAAAACCAACCTTCCATTCTTATCCTCCATTTGAAGGTGGTACTGGATGGAGTCAGTTAATGCTTTCGCAGTTCCCTCTCCCCACTTCAGCTTGAGAGTCTGAGAACTGTATGCAGCACATTCCAGGCGAGGTGGATCCGGGGGGAGAGGCTTTGTTTTCAGTTTTATGGTGTGGCTGAAAGGACCCGCTCCAAGACTGTTTAGGGCTTGAATTCGTACCCTAGCATTTGGAAAAAGGGGGAATAAATTAACTTGAAATTAGATTCTAAAAATAACTGGCCATATCCACCATTCTCATTAAATAGAGAATAATGGTACTATCTACAATAAAGACTTTTATCAATATTATGCTTTTTGATAGACTGTCAAGAATATGCAGGTGCATCACTTTAGGAGCTGGTTTGATTAGAAATAAAAATATTCAAAGTAAATTCACATTAGTGAAAAGATGTAAAAGCTCTGTGAGTTACTTCAAGAGTGGTCCACCTTTCTGACTGTGCAGGCCTTGAACCAAAATTTTGATAGCCACACTGCAGTGATGAGGGAAAGTAAAAAACCCACCCCAAAGAGGGGAAACCATATCTGTGGCTGTTTATCAGGTGAGTTCAAGGATGACTAACAGACATTTTTATGGACTTTTCTGAACAGATCCTATTTGTGTGAAAATAAAGCGATGGTACCCAGCCACCTCTTTTGCTGTTCCCACCCACAGTAACACATCTCTGGGCACCTGCAAACACAAGCTCTCCTGGGTCTGCCTGCAAAGTGAGAGGGGGAAACCAGAAGTCGCCAAAGGACACAAAGCTGAGGAAGTTGTAGAACTTGATACTTAGGGATAAGGTAGGATTTGTTATTCTCTTTGATACTCCAAAGAAGACAATGCACATTAGATTTGTAAGTGAGAATTAAAAGACTTAGCTAAGAAATTTATTTCTGAAAAGGAAAAAGCTGAAAACAGAGGCTCTTTATGTATTTCACAGGTAGCCACAGGGAGCAGTGTGTCTAATTTAATTTTGCAGACTTAACATTTGCTTGTCCAAAATAGTATCTAGGTAACTGGAAAAAAGTAATCACACTAATTAAATTCTGAAACAATCAACCACACAACTGTAAAATGTGGAAACACAAATGTATACGCAGGCTAAAGAATAAATATTTCTCCTTCACTGCAGTAATTTTTAACATTATGCTAATTTATTACAGCCCAGAACTAAGGTTAATACATGCAATTTTTCATTTCCACAAGGAGTTGACAGTGTATTCAATAAAAAAAAAACTTATGTGGGCAGAAGTATAGTCCTATCTCTGCACTGGAAATGACTCTTTTTTTCAGTCTACCGACACACAGAGAACAGCTCTTCAGATTGCCAGCATTGTTGTTGAATAATTATAAGGCACACAGAAACACTGTATTCTCACATAAAGCCATAAAACAGTAATTAAGGATTCAGAAAACTGCATAGCCACATGATATCCTAATGATATCCACATGAATCCTCATACTGAAATCAGAGTGGGTTAAAAGTCTGACTTCAGTGGGACTGCCATTCTCCTTTAACACTGAGGGCATGTTTTTGTAACAGGGATGTAGTAGCACCTTCAGCCAAAACTATTGATTTTTGCATTTATATGTTTCAGTAACCCTTGGAATGAACATAAGGGATGACTTCTGCAACTAAAATTCTTCAAAAGAGATGCACAGCTGGCTGATTTTTCAAACTGATACTGTTCATGCTGACTTCCACTTTTTCTGCAGATGAGGCATTGCAAGTTGCCATGAGCTGTCAATTAGATCAGACTGGGCATAGTCCTTCCTTGGATAAATTTTACCTTTTCAAACAGAGAAGCAACCAGTCCAAAATCAGTTATGAATCTGAATATGTGATGTGAATTCAGTTAAATTGACACATTAACCAGACAGATAGAACGATATTGCAATAAACTAACAAAACTTATTTTTCGGAAGAAAATAAAAATAGCACATCTATTTATGATGATCATCATTACAAAACTTCTTTTTGCTCCATGGCTGTGCACTAATGTGTTTCTGAGAGCAATAATGAAGACAATAAAAAAAACCAAGGAAAAAAAGTATCTGGTCTTGTGGAAGAAACAGCAGGCTGTCAAGCAGCTGTGCATCACATACCTGTAGGTAGTATCCGGCTGTAAGCCATCTATAAAATAGGTCAGATCCTTCCCAACAGTTATTGGCTGCTTATCTCCAAAGTCTATGCTGTAGCCGAGGATTTCAGATCCGTGGTCACAAGGCTCTTCCCAGCTTATAGCAAGGCATGTGGAAGGAGAATAGTGTGGACTTTCAACTTCATCTTCACTTAGTCCACGAAGACAGGTCACAACTGCAGGTACAGAGGCTGGAGTCATACACGCTACTACTTCACTGAAAGGGCCTGCACCTGCAACATTCACTGCCTGCAAATCCAAAGTAGACCATGTTTATATGCCAGAGTCAATTCCTGTTTCCAGATTCCATTAACAACAGTTTTACATCTTTACCTGAACCCTGCAATAGTATATAGTGGCAGGCAAAAGCCCTTTCACTTCACAGCTGAGCCCAGGACCACAATAGGAGATTTGCATGCATCCTTCCACACCGCCCCACTCCAGTCGATACTCCGTGACATCAGCTCCATTACTCACTGGTACCTTTAAAATGGATATCAATAATTAGAAGCTAAATATACTGACATAATTAAAAAAAAATCAACCAAACTAACCACATCTATGTTTTGGTTTTGTTCCAGAGGAGTCTTACCCTTCCATTTCTTTGCTGATTTTGAATTTAGTAAAATACAAATAACAGGCAGAATCTGATACAAACTTCAGGAAGTTCAACTAAGACAATTCCAAACACCAACTCCTGGACTATTACAAAAAAGTACAGGCTGAGGAGCAATCTTTACCAAAAAAACCCCTGTGTGTCTTGGAGAGAAAGCTGAGTAAGAATCAGCAGTGTATGTCTGATGAAGATCAACTACATATTGGCTGTATTAGCAAATGGGCAGCAAGAAGGGTAAAAAGAATAATGATTCCCCTCTACTCAGCACTTGTGAGCCTGCATCTCCAGTACCATGTCCTGTCTCGGGATCCCCAAAAGGAGATGCACATTGACATAATGGAGTAGGTCCAGCGAAGGGTCACGAAGCAGGAGTGCAACACACAACAAAAAAGTAAGGTTTACTAGATAGCAAGGTGATTCACCTAAGGGAAGATCTTACTGCTGCCTTAAATTACTTACTGGGAGGGTGCAAACATTATGACAAAAGCTTTTCGTGAAGATAGCACAGTGCCAAGACAAGAGTCATGACTTGCATTAAAGGGTATTTTGACTAGACATAAACAAAAAAAATCCAACAGAATGAGAGTTTACCCAGACAGTTTTACTAGGCTGAAACATCTTCATTCTTGGAGATAAATAAAATTTCACTGGGAAAGGCCCTAACAAATTTAACCTATTTGAATAGAAGGTTGAACCAAATGACATTCGGAGGATACCTGTGCCTTAATTACTGTGTGACTCTGTAAAACAAACATTTAACATCACTCAAATTAACTCTACCTGAATGTTTTATGTTATTATTTTAAAAAGGCTTTGCCTTGCAGATATTTAAGGAGGGCTCCTCTGACATTCCTCTAGTAGGAAGCATGGACACTACTTTTCAGGTAAAACAGTTTCATTTTTTTTTTTTCTGTACAGTTCTGTAACTTCACCCCATCTCTAAAAGCTTATACTCTTATAAACTCTTATTAAAGCGTAAAAGCTTATACTCTTTAAAGAGTATTCCCAGATAGAATCTTTCTTTTTACAAGCTTAATTTTTATCTACTGCATTTTTTAAAATCAGATATCTAAATACTATGGGTTTATAGGAAGTCTGTGAGGCTTTTGCTACATTATTACTGATGTAATTATATAAAATTAAATCAGATTATAAAACCAAGAAGCGCACAATAATCTATTGTATTATGTGGATACATTGTCTCTGAGGAACTATAACTATGTTAAAGAAAAATTCTAAGATGAGACTGCATCACTCAGAAATGCAGAGCAGCATCTGCGGCAAAACTTTTAAGCAAAAGAACACAGTAAGATCCAGTACCTGCAGCCTGCCAACTTACTGCTGCCTTATAATGGCATGACGAATGACTAAGGTTTTACCTACTGGATAATCAGGTAAGTTTGCTTACAAATAAAGTGATTAAAATACAGTATTAGACTTTTCAAGCTGAACTCAAAAATGCAGAAGACCATTATGTTAACACAGGCGATGGCACGGCATTCTTACCTCCCACGACACCTGAGCACAGGCAGCAGATCTGCACGACACTTGAGGGGGCTTGCATTGATCTGGGGGTCCAGGTGCTGTAGTTATTTCACATTTTTCTGAGTAAGGTCCAAACTGTTAAAAAGGGAGGTGATACAACTACATTGTAAAAATGAAATTACTACTTATAAAAAACCAGTTAACCACAGTAGGGACATGTAACTGCAACCTGAAATGTTGTATTACTTCTTTATAAAATAAATTTCTGTGGACTGTGGAAATTAGGATTTATTTCAGTATCTGACTATTCTCCAGAACAGCTATAAATTTTTCTTCATTCCAGCAAATGCAACGTGAATAAATTTGACACTTCAAACTCTTGGGAAAACCGGGGAAGTATTACCCAGAGCCTTATTCTGAAGTTACATGATGGCTGCACTGGAACATAAACCAATTGCTACTGCCTATTTACACCTATGTAAAAGAAATAAAGGATTCAAAAACTGCTGAACAATGAACCATTCTTTGCAGGGTGAAGGGAAGATAAAAGTTAGGATAGTGTTTTAAAGCCTTAAGCTGCAGACCTCTCCACAAACAGTGTCAACACACCATGACAGTTTTCAATGAAGTGTACATTATTGAACAAATCAGGACTTTGGGTACTCAACTAAAAAGCTTATTCTACAGCAACAATTGATTTAAACACATTTAATATTCCAACGAGGGAAAATAGTCTTGTATTTGATAGAACATGTACTCAGAAGTTAAACTAAATATAAAAATGGAGAGTCAGGAAACATTAATTGTTATGTTCTGAACACCAACAGCTGTAAAAATAAAGGTCAATCAATTTACAAAGCTGTATATAGAAAATAATCTGCTACTCCACATCAAAATAGTGAAGTTGTAACAGTACTTTAATAAAGTACTGTTAGCATTTCCTAATGATTTCCTAATATTACTGTTCAGACAAAAGACATAATTAGCTATTTTCTCTTCCCTTCATCTAAAAATCCCTTTCATTATAAACTGATGTTTAACCATCTGTTCCCACACAACAATAAGCTATGTGACCCAAATGACTCTACATTTGGAAATCCTAATTTAAAAATTACTGTTAAATGCTTTGTTTGAAATAAAAAAATCCTTAATAGTGATTGCAGTCTCTGTAATGAATTTCATTTCAGACTGCCTCCTTACCCCAGCCTTGTTAGCTGCTCTCAGTCTGAAGCTGTACATCCTCCCTGGAAGAAGGCTGCCCACTGTGCATTCAACATCAGAACCCTGGTAAACCTCTCTGTGTTCATCGCTTTCTGCCTGAAACATTTCCAGACCATAACAGGTAATGGGTGAACCACCATCTACCTGAGGTGGTCCTAGAAGTAAGAAAGAAAGAAAAGCTTATTTAATTTTAACACATTGGAACACATTTGGATCCCTTACAATCTCTAACACTTGTAAAAAAATTACCCCAGCGCAGCTGAATTTCTCTTGCTCTTGGTCTACCCTGTAGCCTTGGAGGCTGGCATGGACCAGGAACCACTGCTGGTGTCTGCACCAGTAAGGAATCAGTTACCTAAAAATGAAAGATAGATTAATGAAGTTATCCCGGCCAAATCAAGAACTATCAGCTATGCCATAAGTAAAGGCAAATACCTGAGTCAGAAACAAGATCATCCCTTTTTTAATTACATCTTCAAATATGTGAGGATACTGAAGTGATCTGGTATATATTTCTTGTAATATAAACCATGCCAAAATAATCACACAATATGCAAAATTTGCTTTTGTATTTTGGTACATATGCAAGGAGTAGAATTAAAAACAGTGGTTAATTATCAGTACAAACCTAGTACAGATGCTTGAAATATGACTTATTCCATGTAAACTCACTCTCTTTTGCATCAGACTGCAGTTTAATGAGTTCTGAACCCTAAGGGTTGTATACTTTCCATGGAAGAACCTCTCAGAAAGCTTGAGTGGGCAGAAGTGTCAATCAGAAGAGATTAAAAAAAAAAGAAATTTCAACTTTTTCATTGCTTAGCAATACCTAATGAGCAACAAATTTCCACCTGTGTTTGAAGTTTGGGCAAAAATTACCTAAGAACATAACACATGCAGCACAGATGGCACTGACTTCTGGATGCAGACAGAAGTGAGCAGAGACAATGAGGGGTTATTAGCTTCAGCTTGATACAGAACAAATAGGAAGTTGGAAAGACTTCAGGTTTACAGAAGAAATGAATCTCAGAGTCTCATTTCACAGCTGGTTTATATGTATGTTTAAGAAAGTGTGGACTGGTTTTCAGCTCCTTTGAATATATTGTTGCACTGAACAACTGCTGCTACTTAAAAGGCAGAAAGTTTCACATATGTTAATGGGAAGCTGCAGAAGCATTAATTGCATCTTTCTTCACAGTTCTTCTGTTGATTTCTGACACCTTCAGAGAGTGTAAGGACTTCCTGGAAGTTATTTTCTCTGTGGTACTCAAGGTTAATTCTAAATTCATGGGGTTGGGCTGTAGGGAAGTAGGTTGGCAGAGTGAAGGTCTCCAAAGACTTGTGGTCTGGTGACTGGGAAAGCACTGCAGCCAAGCCAGCATTGAAGGAGTCCAGATTTATTCTTAAGGCAAGGTGGATGTAGTAAAGGGTTATCTTTGCAGGAGACTTCTATGTGGAGGAAGAGCACATATGTTTCATGTCATAAGGCAGGGCAAGGTAGAGACTGCAAACACCAAGAATGGAAGGCTTTAAGGTTTTTGTGAGAGGAGATTGACACTAAAGCCCTGCTGAAAGTCTGCAGAGAGCCAGGGCTGGCTTTGTTACACTTGTTGCTGAGAAGGGAGAGCAAATACAGCAAGACATTTTGGCACTGGCAGCTGATCTACACAACAGAACTGACAATACACATGTGTGTGTAGTGTGCATATGTGTAAAGAAGCACAGTATGGCACAGCAAATTGTTTGGGAATACTGGAAAGTAGAGCAATGTAAACATTTAAATTGTGCTTGAGAAAGCACAGGAATCATAACCTTGTAAAGCTTGAGCGAAGACTTCTTCCCCTGCCTGCTAGGGTAACTTGGATACTCAGACAAGGTACTCCACTGACTACAGGAAATACATTAAATTCATAGAATCACAGAATCTTCTGAGTTGGAAGGGATCTACAAGGATCACCAAAGTCCAGCTCCTCGCCCCAAGACAGCCCCAAGAATCATACTATGTGAGACACCATTGTCCAAATGCTTTGTGAACTCTGTTATGCTTGGTGCTGTGACCAATTCCACAGGGAGCCTTTTCAAGTACCCTTCTTAAACTGCTGTATTTGGTTAGGCCTTAATAAATGACATTGTATAAATGTATCACATAGGAAAAGTATCTGTTTCTGTAAATAAGACTATCATGTCAAACAAAATACATCAGGAAATAATATTCAGATATTTTTCTTTAACAAATGAGCAGAAACTTGAACCACTGTGCAGCAATACTGGAACTTCTCTGAGGTTCTAATTATGGCTATTTTGTTAGGCACTTCTGCACAACATTTGCTTAAACATCTAGTGGACCAGATTTTCTTACAGAGAGAAATTTAATTTAATAAAAATATTAGCTGATATTACCGTGCTTTGTCCTCCTTCCCCAACGCAATATACACGTAACCGATAGGAAGAGCCCGGATTTAGTCGGTCACACACGTGTTCCCTAGCGGCTCCGCTGTATATTGTATCCCACTTGTTTCCTGAAAGGTTAGGAATAAGTGTGCAATGAACCAAAGTGTAATTTGCCACACTTCAGTACCAGCCACAGCAGCTATCCTAATTTCACTAAAGTGTGTGCCTGATGTTTATTAAAAAAAAATAGAAACTGAGACTGCTTTGAATTTCCTGGAAGATCCTATAATTTCAGAGTTTCTTAGGTGTAGATCTGCTGAAGTGAAATAGCTTCCTTATTTGGGATTTACCTTCACTACAAAAGAACTTACTTGGTCAACAAGCACATTCAACATCATAACCAAATAAACAGGAAAGATACAAAAGTAAAATTTTTAATGGAAAACAAGTTTCAAATTACATCATCATTTTGCAGGCTGTAACTAGTTTACAATTGGTGAAGCTTGTTCCTGTGTTCCTGAATGGCCCAGAACCATGTGAAATTCTGATTCCATTATTTACTACTCTTAAATCAGAAACTCTTGAGCATTCTGTCTTTCTTTTTAAGATATTAAGCAGGGAACCTGGGGACTTTTAATTAAATCTCCAACAACTCAATACACCAGAATTTAAAGGGTTGGGAATGAAACGTAATGCACAGCTCACTAAATCTGTGTGAAAGCCTTGGGTGAAAGCCATTCTAAAAGTGGCTTAATGTGGACACGTGACAGAGAGAGGAAAGCAATAGACCAACAGCCTGAGAGGGCTCCCATCATATATAGGGGCAGTGCTCTGTCTTAATCTGACACAGCACTGAAAAAGTTTAAACTTTCATTTTTGGTATAACTGTGTTTTTGAACTCAACAAAGCTACTTAACTAGATTTTTAAATAATTTAGCAAGATAGGTTTATGTCCAATTTAGAAATACTGTCAGTTTCCTTTCTGTATGAAAGAACAGAAAGCAAATAGCAGAAAGTTACCCCAGCTGCATCATTGTTCTCATTTAATAGTGATAAATGGAGTACGAGCTTTTCTTTCATCTGCCATGCAGACAACAAAAGCTACATGTCCCTGTCTTCTTGCCCTAAAATGTCTGAAATGTGTAATTACATTTCCAAAACTGAACAGACCTAATTACTAAGTTAAACAAAAAGCATCTCTTGCGTCACAGAATTTTGTGGCATCTCTCTTTTCTAAATCAGAGAAAAAGAACTTCTTCTTGTACACTTGCTTGTGTACAAGCATCAATGTGCCTATTTTCTTTTTGATGTCAGTCCCTGGGAATAACTTTCCCAGTCATAATACACATTTTTTTCTTCCCACATGCACACAAAGACAGGAAAAAAAAAACAAACCACACAACTGAATGCCAATGTATGATCCTAATACTTACCACTTAAGCCTTCAGACATTTCCACAACATATGTATGTATTGCTGCTCCCCCATTGTCTTTTGGTGGATCTATAAAAAACAGCAATATTCCAGCTGAGGTAAGTTAAATGGCTTTATAGCTTTTGGGGAGGTTTTCCCATTGGCAAAATCAACAGACAGCTGGAGATGGGTGCTTATTTAGACAGAGAGCATCCTAGTCCAGGGCAGCAGCAAATCACTCCAAGTCCTGCTGTGTGAAAGCCAGCTCTCAGCCCTTCTGTACACTCTGCACAGGAGAAGGGACAAGGGAATCGCCCCTGGGAGATGCCACAGCAAACGTTTCAGTCTCAAGTGCCCGACTATGGATTCAGGGACACAGACTCTAATGGTCATGCAATATGGACTGCAGACAGGAAAAATTATCATATGGATTTGTATATAAAAATATTTTGAAATTATTTAAGGACAGAATTTCAAAAGCCTAAATATTTCGGGATGGAATAGAATAGGCAAGAGCTCTACACTGAAGACTTATCTCTTAAATTCTAATATATCACTTGAAATTGAGTGCACTATCCTCCCTGGTACAGTATTCATGTACAAGATACAAATCTACAGACCTTTCTTGGACATATACTCCTAATACTGTTTCTCAAAGATGACTTAGAAAATGGCAAAATTAAAGTAATGTGAAACAACATTTTAAACAAATATAAAGACAGCATTATACTTCAACACAGAAGGGTACTCCTGCCTAATCATCACATTATGCTTGTGCTGGATGAAATGATGTTGGCTCTTAGGCAAGGGTTATGTATCATAAAATGCCAGCTAAATAAAATGAGACTTAGATGGCAGATAGCACTTTTTTGGTTGGAAGGAAATTACTCCAAATGGAAAGTAAAATTGTCACAATAATTACCACACAGAAAGAGCATCACTGTTCTAAATAAAGACTATTAAAAGTTTTATATATAAATTGATATTTTAGGTAGCTTTTGATATACAAATAAGGTATTTTCAATAACTTCATACATTATGCATTGTACATAAAAGATCAAGTATCAGGTCCTGATGTAGCAAAGCACTCTGGGAAGATGTAAGGCTGGACCTGCTGAGTGCTATTTGTACTCAACAAGTAAATTTCTTATTACTGATGCTAAAGAATTAAACACATTATTAAATGGAGATAGGTAAGAAGTGACAATAAATGTCATATTTTACTGTTTGGTTTTCTGCTACAGTACTGCATTGCACAGTACTGTTCAACCTTCTCCTATTTTACAGCATAAGGCTAAAAATTCCTGAGCTTAAGGAAAAGTTTCTCAATATCCTTAGAGAATAAAGATTTACCTCGCAAAACCAAATAGTTTGAAGATACAGGTTGAACTTTAATCTTCTCCTTCAATAACAATTCAGAATGTCATGCACCTACTCTTTGTGTCAGAGAAACAGAACTTCTTAGTATATCAATTAACCACTCTAAGTCCTCTGCAATAACAGTCCCTATCACAATTAGCACATTATTCTTCCCATATAATTAGCTGTACTGCCACACTAAGTATTTTGAGTCAGTATTTTTCAATAGAAATGGATCATAACGGCTCAGTTGACTGAAGTGTTACTAAAGTAAAACCTGATCTTCTGTATAAAAAATATTTTATATATATAATATATATTAAAATACAGAAGAAATACCCTAATTAGATCTGGAAAACATTCTTACCCCAGATTATTTTAAAACTCTGTGCATGAATTTTTCCTTTCACTGTGGGTTTTGAAGGTACTCCAGGTTTGTCTGGACAAGTAATGTACTCCACTGTCTCGCTTGGACTGCTCTTCCCTTCTGAGTTATATGCAATGACCTGCAAATATATATTAAATACTATAAACACATTGGATAGTGCTATGCTATTCACTGTTTATGATAAGGACAAATTGATTTATATTTTATATATAGACAGACATATAATAAATTAACACAAAAACTAAAGTTATTATATACATTCATTTTACATTTTCCTTAGTCCCATAGTTAGACAATCACTATACTGAAAATATAAATGCATGCAAATTGCCAGAAAAAAACAAATCCTTAAAAAAATTCCTCCCACGCTAGTAGAGCACCTTCTTTTACATAAATAGTGAGACAGAAAAAGTATTTATACGGCTAACTTGTATTAACAACAGCAAAGGGATTTTATAAACTCTTCAGTCCCAAGGATTATTATGGCAAAGGCTGTCATGAAAGTCATGTGAAGGGCAAGGAATTATATTTGTCAAGGGTAAATTGTGTTTAACCAGCCTGAGTGCTTCCTTGATGCAACAACTTGCTTAACAAATGGGGGAAAGCTGGGGATATCATCTAGCCGAATTTTAGTTCGATCTCCACAACAACTACACAGACAAGCTGGTTAAGATAGAACAGATGGACCACAAGATGGCTGTAGAAAACCTGACAGAATGCCAGGCTCAAAGGGTGTTGGCTAATGGTTTGAAGAAAAATTAGCAGCTGCTCATGAGTGGATTTCCTCAGCAGCCAATCCAATGTCAGATTCTATTCATTATCTTTTGGATGACAGGAGTGAGTGATTCTCCCAGATTTGCATATAGCACCAAACTAGAAGACAAACATATGCTGGAGAGAAGAGCCATCATACAGACTTTGACAGGCTGAAATATTGCATGAACAAGAACTGTATGAGCTTTGGACAAAGATACAGTCTTGCACCTGGGATGGAATAATCCCAGCACCAGTGCAGTCTGGGGTCTGACTCTACACAGTTTTTCTTTTTTCAGCTCTGTTGAGAAGGACATTGGCATTTGAATAGGAGCAAGCCAAATTAATCAGCAAAGCATCTTGGCAGTAGTAAAACCAAATTGTTTCATGGGCTGCATCAGCAAGAATTTACCCAGCAGAACAAAGGATTTAATTATGTCACACTACTCAGCACTTTTAAAACCATGCTTAGAATACTGTGTCCAGTTTTGGTCCTCCCAGTTGAAGAGACACTGGGAAATTGGAAAGAGTTCAGAAGAGGGCCAGCATGATGATCAGAGGATTAAAGAACCTGACATTGGAAAAAAGCTTTTTTTTATTTTGCCTGAGTAAAAAGAAGTTTCATTGGGAAGGATCTAATCACAGCCTTCCAACACCTAAGACACAGTTACAGAAGAAATTAAGACATTGCCTTCCAAAGGATCTGTAATGACAGGACAAGAGCCAGCAGACACAAAGTGTGTTAGGGGAAATTCTAGCTGGATATAAGAAAAGAAATTAATTACCATCAGAACAGACAGCCCAAAGAAGTGGTTGAATCATCCTTGCTGGAGTACTGAAATCTCAGCTCAACAGGGCTGGGACAGGGTTGAACTGCCTAAGATAAGGCCTGGCTTTCTACACAAATTTGACCCAGATGATCACCAAGAGTCCCTTCCAACCTAGACTTTTCTGTGATTCTAGGAAAACAAATTCTTGCTATTTTTTACTTTGTAGTTTAGTAAAAAGCTAAACCACCTAGGAAAAAGAAAACAAGGAAAAAAGAAAGAGTTTTTTTTCAGCTTTTATATCTGTTTTAAAAATGAGCAGAATCTAAATGACAGCAGTGATATTACTAGACTGAGAAGAGGAAATGCAAGCTAACATGTCTCTCAGACATTAAGTCTCCCAATACAGTTTAGAGGATTAATAATCATCTGGTTGTCTTTGTGCCCTTACAAATCAAGTTAACAGGCAGTTAGCATTTACGTATTATAATAAGGTTTCCAATGGTTATAAAGCTTCTTTCAAAAGCCTGAAGGAATATTACTACTAATTAAGTCTTTCCTCTGTATAATAAAAATTAAAGACATGATCAACATAACATTTGTTTCTCCTTTATGCTCCATGAATGCGTGAACAGACTTCTGTTTATTGTTTTGCTATTAAAAACAGGGTATAAACATTGGAGTTATTTTAATGAGAAACTTAGGATGTTTAAGTAACTATATATTTACTAGTAATGAGTGTAAATCATGTGTAGTATTACTTTCAAAGGAAGACTATATTTGTGTCCTGCAAAAGCTAGTTTTAAGAGAATTAGCTACTCTTTAGTTCATGTGTAGCCATAGTAGTGCTAGAAACATACTGTATGTTTCAAATTACTTAAAGACTAAGTTATGCAAAAATCCCAACAAAATCATATTCAGAAGTGCAAAATATCATCTGAAAAGGAGTACTTACATGCTTCAGTGTTAACTCAAACAAATCAATCAATGCTTAAACTATTGACATTCATATTGCAAAGAGAAGCTCTTCTTCAACAGTTCCCAATTCTTCCTTAGATATTTTACTTAGTATTCTTCCTTAGTATTTTAGATATATGCATGACAACAACTATCAATATTTTTCACTTGCAGAGAGATGAGATTATTCTGACTGTGCCTCAAGTTGCACCAGGGGAAGTGTAAATTGAATATTAGAAAAAATTCCTTCACAGAAAGAGCAGTCAAGCATTGGCAAGGCTGTCCAGGGAAATGGTTGAGTCACTGCCCCTGGAGGTATTTCAAAAGTGTGCAGATATGTTGCTTAGGGACATGGTTTAGTGCTGGGTTAAGGGTTGGACTTGATCTTATAGGTCTTTTCCAACATAAATGATTCTGTGATTCCTACTGTTGAACATATCTTTAGCTTTGTTCCAAAACCCAAGCAACTATTCAAGAGTAACTCCGAATATAGAATAGCCCATGTTTTGTGACTCTCCTTTGGACCAACTCCCACTCTGCCTGTCTTTTGTGAATTGTGTGGATCAGAACTGGACACAGTTCTCCAGGTGTGATCTGACACAAGCTGAATACAGGGAAGATTTCTTATCTCTGCTAGCAATTCCACTGCTAAGTCAGCCCAAGATCCAGTTTGCCTGAAGGTCCCTTTCAGCAAGGTTGCTCCTAGCCTATAGTGGGCTCCTTGGTTATTCCAGCCCAGGTGCAGAACTTTGCACTTGTCTTTGTTAAACTTCATTCTGTTTTTGCTACCTCGCTCTTCTAGCCTATCTTACAGGTGTTTCTGTAAGATAGCTTTGCCTTCTGATGTGTTCATCTGACCACTCCATGTGGTGTCACCAGCAGACTTGGTGAGGGTGCTTTCAATCCCATCATCAAGATCAGTTGTGAAAATGAACAGCATGGGGTCTCCTATCCCTAGGAGTTCCTAATTCAGACAGGCTGCCAGCCTGACTAGAAACCATTGATCACCACCCTCTGAGTGTGGCCTGTTTTCTACTCATCTCACATACTACCTATCCAGTTTGTGTCTTGCCAGTTTGGCCAAGGAGAAGGCTGTGGGAAATTGTTGAATGCTTGCTGAAGTTCAGGTAAAGAATATCCACTGATCACCTTGGACCAACTGGAAGTGTTACCTTGATGTAGGACATGATCAGCCTAGTCAGCCATCATTTACTTTTAGTGTAGGCTATTCCCAACTGTCTCCTTTGTTTGGCTTGTAGTATCTCCTAGGAAGACTTTTTCATTTCTTTTCTAGGGACTGAAGTAAGATTAATGGGCTTGCAGTTCCCTGGGTCCTCATTTGGGCCCCTCTTGTAGATGGGGGGTATTACGTTCACCCTCTTCTGTCAGGGATATTCCCTGACTTGCATCACTTTTCAAGTGACTGAGCCCCTCCAAAAGACCAAACCCTAGCCTTCTCACAGCTACCTTATCCTGTGATCTGGGGTCCAGTTATGCTGGTAAGGCAGAGGCAAAGAAGGTATGGAGAACTTCTGCTTTATTGGCATTATTAGTAACTTGCCTCTTTGCCCTGTTTAGGAATGGCCTCTGTATGTATTCCCTGTGCTTCTACTTCTCACGTATCTGATGAAGCATTTCATGTCATTCTTGTTATCTTTGGCCAATTTTAGTTCTAGTTGATCCTAAGCCTTTTCTACTTCAACTCTGCCTGTCCAGGCAAGTTCTTGTAGTCCTTGGTGGCTATTTGATCATCTTCCCAGGGCCAGTATGCTTCTTTCTATCTTTTAGCCACACCCAAAAGCTCATAGGCCAGACTTCTTCCTGAACTAAAAGTTCAGCTCTTAAGCTTATTACAACAGGCTCAGCACCACAGTCATATGGATGACTTCCTAACAATTTTTTTTAATCAAGGCTGCTCCTTACCCTAACACCTTCATTGTGTTTACTGTCAAAAGAACCCATAGCTACACTCAGTAATATCACCCATGTATATGAAACAAACCAGCCAAATAAAAAACCCCAGCTGTTAAGAACATGTACTTTTGACTTGGAATTTCAAGATACTTGTAGCTCTGCTACACCCTTGCAGAGGTTCTTATCACTTCTGCAGAAAAAAATAATGCAGGTTCAGCCAGTTTTAAGAGATTGAAATTGTAAGAAACTGACATCAAATTCTGTTTCCCTTAAAAATGGCCCTCCCCACTTCTGAGTCAATCTCAAACTAGTCTGGTGCCCAAACATATGAAAAAGATCTTACCCTAAATTTATATTTTGTACTACGCCTCAAATTCTTCACCGTGTAGGTAAGATCATCACCATCATATTTTGGCTTGAAACCATATCCCTGCAGAATTAAACAGGATTATTTGAAACATTATCTTTGCAGGCCAGAGGATCTAACATACTTCATACAAATAAATTACTGTTTCAAACTGTAGTTATTATGCTTCTCTGACAAAATAATAAGTGCACCTTCATTGTGTGAACACAATCTTTTTAAAAGAGGTGTAAATTCATTAACCATTTTCCAATCAGGAGAGGAGAAAAGATCAGTAAGAAAGATATATACAGCACTACTGAAAATTTTATCTAACACTTTCAAAGAGTAGAACAGTACTGATTTTTAAACAAATGCTGTTAGTCTGAAATGACATCTAGAGGGACCATATTTCATGATGCAATTGCTTTGATCCAGCTCTTACAAGACTTAACTTGCACACACAAATTCACAAAGTTATAACCAATTTATAAGTCTTTGCAGAAATGGGGCTTAATAACACTAAACACAATTAAAAGAAGAAAGCGAGGTGGCCTGGTCACAGCAATGACAAGTCATTAGCTTAATTTCAGAAAATACAATTCCTTGTAGAATATTCTAGCAAAAATAATCATTGCTACACTAATACAACAATGTATCAAACATAGTGAGAATAAGTATTCTAAACTTACTGAGTTCTCATCCTCCATCTCTAATATATATGAGATTCCTTCATCTGATGGTGTTCCTGAGGGTTTTGTCCACTGAAGGGATAACCAAGTAACTCCAGCATTAATCAGCAAAGGACTTGCTGGTGTGGTTGGGGCAGTGCCTGAGGTATGATACAGGACTTCTTCACTAAAATCACTGTTTAAAACAGACAGTATGTAAACTAACTAGACACAATAATTAATAGCTAAAACCAAAATTCTTACTAAACACAGCTATGACAGTTTCTTGGAGATATGCACAATGGAAATTGCAAGCTCTTACAAGCAAACAAGTTAACTTGCCCACGAGTCTGTCAGTAACAAAATATCTGAACAAGGTTAACATGTTCATAATTGAAAGATTCCTTTGTATGATACAATTACAATGTTTTGCTAACCAGAACGTTTTGCTTTTTCACATTAACTCAGTATTCTAAAACACTAAAGCTCTATATGCAATAATATACTAATACCACACTGTCCTTCCTTGTCAAAGTGAAACCATGAAGACATAAAAACATTTAGGCAAGACTTCAAAACAAACTTTGCTTATGTGTTCTGAGCTTACTCTGAAGTACTGGTTTCTCTAGAGATCCAGAAAATAATAGAATAGTCTCATTCAGTGGTAAGCTACTTGAAGAGTTGATAAAATGAAAATCTTATTGCAAAAAAAGAAACACAGTATAACAGTAAATCTCCTAACACAACTGTTATCCTTATCTGATTTAGATTAGATACACCTTGTGGTGAAAATACAAACAAATTACAAGTAAAGAGCTACGGTGGAACAGGGGGATGCAAAAGTCAGTGAACAGACAGCATGCTTGCACAGACAGCCTGACATGCATCCAGCCAGACTAAAAAGGCCCACCTGCTCTCAGCTGGCTTTGCTGCTTTAGATCAGATGTGAAGAATCACAAGCCTAAAGCTAGTCTAATTTTTTTTTTAACCATATGAAACAAATTTAAAAGATGTAATTTTAATCTAAAAGTTAAGGATTACCTAAGTGAGCATCAGGAAGCTCTGAAAATAAAATCCTCTGTATAGCTTAAACAAAGATACCAGTAAAATATCTCACGTGTTTTGAAACCTCACTTGCCTGAAAAATCTTAATAAAAAGCTAACTCCAATTTCACTTCCTCTCTTACTCAACCTCTATTGCAGTGATGCACATGTTATAATTTTGGCCTGCATTGAGGTATTTTTTGGCATTTAAAGAAAAAAATCTTAGAGACAACACATTATCAAGAGTGTTGATAGCACAGAAAACAGACATATTGTCCGTGAGGACTGCCAAAGAGATGTGCAGCAAGAAGGGAAAAAGTAAAAAACAAGAGAAAACTTCCAAATTTATGGGAATAGTAATTTATTTTCTTGAAGAAGTCACAAGCAAGAAAACTTCTGGAATGGAAATCAAGTGATACCTACAATATATTTACTAAAAAAAGATCAACATTTTATAGGCAGCCTGAAGAAAGCATGAAGAGAGGTTAGATACAAGTTGTATGTCTAACTCTTTTCAAAACAAACTATCGAAGGAGTCACCTTACAAGTAGATATAAGGTAAAAAACCCCACATATCTTAAAAAGATTTAATCTCTAAACTTGCTTGCACCACTCCAAAATACACTGAAATAAACTGAGTTCCAGCCATAGTCATATTTGAACGACTATTAAACAATTCCCACAGAAGTACAGTACTATCTTTGAAAATAGATTTTATTTTCCAGTTTTCTTTAACCACTGTTTCATGTAGGTTAGAATTAAATTTAAACATTAGTAACTCAGAGATAAAATATCTGTTCTTCTTGGTAAAATTATTAGACAAAATTCTGTCTCCAGATGCCTAATGGTCTCAACAGTCTTCATATGGGAAAAACAGGCACTCTACGCTAATAAATATGATTTCAAGAGACTTCTTAATTAAATAATACCATAAAGACAAAGCACATCTTCACAAGGCTATGAAATACTGATTTAAAAATCTATTCAGTGTGATTAGTTTAAGAAGGGTACTTAACTGATCAGTGTCTTCAAAGCTTACGCTGGAGGAATCGTTAATATGTGCAGCTATTCCTAGAGGGTACAGCTACACTCAGATGTAAAAGGGGAATAGGAAGAGAGCCCAAGAACTGGACCCTGCTTAACTGCCAGCTCCCTTCCCTGTCTTTATTTTTAACAGTTCCAACTCAATCTCAACAAGACAAAGTCCAGGAGCAACTCAAGAGAATAATTAATTTCAGGAACATCATCCAGAAGGCAGTAATGCAATAAAGACTATTGCAGCACACCAAAAGTCTTTCTAGCCCACTACAGTGGACTAGACTGTAGCACAAAGCAGGTACTTAAGGAAAGACACAGGAACAAGCACCTTATGCAATGCACTCCCTGAGTACTCTCCAAAGCCTCCCAACACATGCTTCAGATCTTCTGAGCCAGCTGTATTTTTCACATACTTAATAGTCTGCAGCAGATTCCTTCTTCCCAGCATGAATTATGACCCTGGGTCTGGCCCCCTACTCTGTACACTGTTCTTTAACACTGGCCAAGCAGCTCCTTCTGCCAGATAAAGGACACACAACACACATCCTCTATTTCATGCTGTAAAAACACCACTTTAGTGAGCTGCAGCACAGTGTTCATAATATGTGAATTGAAAAAAAACAAACACAAAAAGTAATTTTATGTTGATGGTGAGGGAAGCTTCATTTTTATGCCCCACAGTACCTCAAGGTCCAAGTACTACTAGGTAGCGTGGACACCAGGAGCCTGCTGTAGAGATGAGCTCTGGCAGTATGATTGCTAGCCACGTGCATCTGCTTTGCCTGATGACCAAGAAGCCCACTCAAGAACCCAATAATGCAATAATGCATGCATAACTTCACAAAACATTTTTTTCCATGTTCTTACGTATATTTTCCACTGAAGTCACAAGTCATTAATTCAAAAATCAAAACAAAGTTTGGTGCTCTATAACATCTGAAAAGTAGTAATTAAAAGCATGAACCATATATGCTAAGCATTGATAATAAGGGCTAGAACTTCCAGAGAATTCCTTGATATGGTAATGTCATATTCTGTCTATTTCCCAGGGTAACAGGAGACTAACAGACAGATGAAGGGACGAGATCCCAATAGCACAAAGGCTACCTGCAAAAATAAAAATCCAATCATGTACTGTGAGTTAACTCAGCAGTTGGACTAGATGATCACTCTAGGCCCCTTCCAACTGAAGTATTATATATTTTATATTCCATTTCAGACCATTTGGACAAAAACCTTTTTCTTTAAATGCCACCACGTGTTTTTCCTAAAGTAGCACACAAAAGGATGCATATGCTTTCCATATTTAGGTATGTAACAGCATTTACCTCATTCCCATGTCATTTTTGGCTGCTAGCCTAAAGGTGTACCCCATTGCTGGTGACAGTTTAGTGATCCTGTACTGCTTCTGTTGACCATAATAACACTGGCAAAACTCTCCATTTCCTTTTCCCTAAAAAGTAATAAGTTAATCATAATCATATTATTGACCTTATTACCTATGCATGCATCAATTAAAGTACACACAAACATGAAGTAAAATCCTTTCTTGAAATTAAATATAACTCAGAAATCTCCATATGGTGAGGCAGTAGCATATGAAACTTTGTATTAAATTAGCAGCTTTTTTCCTTCCTTTCCATCTCCTAGCTCCTTGGGGCTGAAAGAATAAAAGCCATGAAGATACTGCACCTCCACCTTCTCAGGATAGCTGTCCAGGTAGAGACTGCAAGATCATTGCAGGGCCATAGTTGATCCACCCACTTATTAAAAAAGAAAGACTGTTACAGGAAAATGATCCTTCCATGTCAGCTCTTGAACATGGACTATGAGTGAAAAAGCCACTATTAAGAGTGGCAGAATCATGCAATGAAGATCCTTTTATTTTATATCCCCTGAGAAAAAAAACTGAGCACTAACTGTATTTTAATAATTGCTTCAGGAATTACATTACTGTCACATGCCTCTAATCAAAAATCTTAATTTTGACATAAGTTAACGTGCACAGTCACATACAGCTACTTAAAAAAATAGAAGACTGAAAATACAATAGAATAACTTGCTTACTTCATCCCATTCTAAAAGGTAACTGTGGATTTTGGAACCATTATCACAAGATGCCTGTAAAAGGAAAACAGGAAAATTAGAATTCTAACTAGATATAAGACCCCTTAAAAAACGCATGTATGGGCCAATTCACAAGAAGAACAGTGGAAGACAAATAATCCCCTTATATAATGGCTTCACTTGCTAAAACAGTCCTAGTTTAGTTGCCATACAACGAAATGATTGTCCCATGTTTACAGGGTTTTTTCCTAATGTAGTTATTGAAATGCATTGGGTACTGAACTCAGTAATTTTACCTTGAGAGACTCCTTGCTTTTCTCTGAATCCTTCTCTTTTTACTCAAGTCCACATTTAACCCAGTAAATCTATTTCCAATCAGGGAACTGGGACTCAAATTAGTAGGTTTGACAAAAATTTTCAGTTTCAATAAACTGGTATTTTATTGATAAATCCACAACAATTCTGAAGAATTTAAAATATTTATTTTAAAGGCTGTAAAGCAATCCTTACCTTCCACTGAAGAGTAAGAGAATTTTTGGTCCGATTAGTTATCCTGGGCAGATTTGGAGTATCAGGTTCACAACTTGCTGTGGTAAAACTCTCTGTTTCTGAAGGGCTCCCCTTTACACAGTTGCATTCTACTTGGACTCTAAAGTGGAAGAGAGTCAATACCATTTTGCTTCAAAATCTGTATAGTTTCCAAAGAAAACCAAGCATTTGGAATTAAGTTGCTGCCTTGCTGCTTCATTACTAAAATATCACTGTTATAAATAAATAACTGGGGGAAACATCTTGGACAATAGAAGCAATAAGAAAGAAAAGAGTCCTTTACTTTGGATGTACATCATTACCATTGGTTGGCTTTAGTCTCACAATTATATTTGAAATATGTCTGTTATTAACTGTACTTTGGTTGGAAAATAATGGTAGCATTTTGCAGGCTCATTATCTGTTGTAAAGATATAAACTTATATTATTAGTAATTCTTCTGCAAGTGCTTTCGTCAGATGAGCACAACAAAGCTGTTGACGTAGTATCCTCTGCACTCAAATGGGTGTCCTGCTGAGTGTGTTCACCTTGTCCTTTCCTTTAGTAAGGCAATGAATTAGCTCTCCACAAAAGAGTGAGTTTTGCTTCTGTCTCAGAGAGAAATGGCTTGTTTTTCAAAAGGCTTGTCTCCAAAAGGAAATACATGATCATCATCTGGTCTCCCCCTGCCCCCTAAGCTGTGCAGCTATGCCTTGCCTCTTCCTTGGGTCAGTGGCACATTACTTGCTTCTTATTTATCTGTTCCTTTGAAAAAAAACCCAAAACCAAAACTCGCCAAAAAACCCTTTCCTCTGATTACCAATTTAAGATCTGAGTTGACAGCTTAAGAAAATACAAAAATTCTGATACATTTGTGATGCATAACAGCAAATCACAGGAAATTTGGCTTTATAGATTTCACAAACAGAGAGAAGACAGTCAAACAGTGACTAAAGTTGAACACAAAGTTGTTTGTGCTTGCATACAATTGCAAATATGTAATACATCAGTTATCTTGGTCGTTGAGTTGTTCCAGTCTTTGTTGATTTTCTGCAGTGTTCACACTGGCAGAATTCTGTTTAGGAAGAGCTTGGATGGCCAAGCCAGTGATTCCCATGTACTGCCTACAGCAACCAGAATTAAGCAAGAAAAAATATGAATGTAGTCTGAAAGAAGAGCACTTAGACAGAAAAAAGAAAATTCTAGGCACTGACCCTTATGCTCCATGAATTTTCAACTTCAACCGTGTTGGATAAAATATATCTAAAAATACTAAAAACAGGAACAAAATCACAGGTGAACACTTTCATAGGCAAGAGCTTAGAGCCAGCTTACCATTCATCCTTCTCCTGATCTTATGTTCCAGGCAATACAGGGGCTCAAATTAAATGAGGGCTGTGATAAGAACAGACCAACCCTCTTTTGCTTTAAGTTTGATAACCAAGACAATACTCTGGAAAACAGCTCTGGGAGGTATAGACCCCTTCACACCAAAGGCTGGGAACCTAGCTCTCCCACTTGAGCAAATGTTAAAAAGGCTATTGTACAAGGCAAATCCTACTCTAAATGCGACGTGGAAGGAGGCAAAACATTGTTAACCGGGACCCATTCTCTGACACACTTCTGTTCCCTGTGCTTCCTACCAGCTGCCTCTAAATTGGTATCCTTGGTCAGTACACAGAGATCTTGGGGTTCTCCACACAGTCAAGAGAGGCAGGACATTCAGTCACATCTAAGAAGGTACTCTACACTTGCCAGTACCTCCTGAAAAGGCACTTCTTTTAAGGAGGCCTTCATTTCTCCCTTCACAATGTTATTTATTTGTAAATTGCTGTATTCACACTATTTTTTTAAAAAAACAAGAATCACAGAGTAGTTTGGGTTGGAAGATACCTTTAAAGGTCAACTTGTCCAAACTCCCCTGCAATAAACAGAGACATCTTTAACTAGATCAGGCTGCTTAGAACCCTGCCCAGCCTCTCCATGAAAGGTTTTCAGGGATGGGACATCCACCATCTCTTTGGGCACGCTGTTCCAGTGTTTTACCACCCTCAGTGCAAAAAAATTTCTTCCATATATCTAGCCTAAATATACCCTCTTTTAGTTCTAAACCATTATCTCTTGCGCTATCATAACAGGCCCTACTAAAAAGTCTGTCTCCATCTTTCTTACAGGCCTCCTTTAAGTACCGACTTTTCTCCAGGCTGAACAATTTTTGTGGCCCTCTTTCAGAGCTACTCTAACAGGTGACCATCATTCTCATGATGGGGATCCCAGAGCTGAATGCAGGACTCTGGGTGAGGTCTCATGAGAGCGGAGCAGAAGGGCAGAATCACATCCCTCACCCTGCTGGCCACGGTGTTTTTGATGCTGCCCAGGACACAATTGGCTTCTTGGACTGCAAGTGCACATTGTCAGGTCATGCCCAGCTCTCCAGCCAGCAGGGCCACCGCATCCTCCTTGGCAGGGCTGCTCCCAATTCCTTCATCCTGCAGCCTGTGTTGATACCAGGGCTGCCTAGACCCAAGGGCAGCACCTTGCACTTGGCCTTCTTGAATCTCATGAGGTTCCCATGGCCTCACTGCTCAAGCTTGTCCAGGTCTCTCTGGCATCCCTTTCTTCAGGTGTGTCAACTGCACCACTTGGTGGCTGACACTGCAACTGCTTGGTGTATTCTGCTGGAAGCTCACTCAGTCCCACTTTCTGTGTCACTGATGAAGATATCTGACAGTACCAGTCCAAGACCAGCCCCTGTGGGACACCACTTGTCACTAATCTCTATCTGGACACTGGACCATTGACCACTATTCTGTGAATGGGACTGACCGAACAATTTCTCATCCACCAGGAAGGATACTGTGGGGGACTATCTCACAGGTCTTACAGAAGTTCAGACAGCTAACATCTGCAGTCCCTTTGTCCATTGATACAAGTCACTTGTTCATAGGCCACTTGGTTCTTCAGGCAGGACTTGTCCTTGGTGAAGCTGTGCTGGCTGTCCTGAATCACCTCCTTGTCCTGCATGTGCCTCAGCATGGCTTTTAGAAGGATCTGTTCCATGATCTTCCCAGGCACAGAAGTGAGGCTGACAGGTTGGTAGTTCCCAGAGTCTTCCTTCCTAACCTTTAAAAAAATTGGTGCAGTGTTTTCCTTTTTCCAGTCACACAGGACTTCACCTGATTGCCATAACTTTTCAAATATGATGGAGAGTGGTTTGGCAACTACATTATCTAATTCCCTCAGGACTCTGGGATGAATCTCTTCAGATGCAGACTTATGTCCCAGTTACTCAGGTGGTCTCAAGCCTGATCTTCTCTCACTGTGGGAGGGACTTTCCTCCCTCAGTCCCCATGCTGCTGCCATCCACTGGAGAGGTGTGAGAAGTTGCCACTGAAGACTAAGGCAAAAAGACTGTCGAGGTACCTCAGCCTCTTCCTCATCCATAGTTACCAGTTTCCCAGTTGTCTTTTCTTGGGAGGATACACTTTCTATGACTTTTCTTTCTGGCTGACAAAGCTATAAAAGCACTTAGTCTTTGCATCCCTTGCCAAGTTCAGCTCCAGATGACCCTCTAATATTTTTAAAAAAAGAGGGAAGAATGACACCTAACCACATCTTCCCAGTCCTATGCTATTTCTTCTGACCTACTGAAGTAGTCAATTCTGCTAGAAGGGCAGAATTACACTGAGCTGGTGGCATATTTTGTCATGCACATGGGGTCAGGTTCATTGATCTACTGGAGCCAAGCAAAAGTAGCATAATATGACTTTCAGGCGGCCAAGCAGGGAGCATCTTCCAGGGCAAGGTACTTTCCTCTGCTGCTTGTGGAAAACTGAAAAGCATCTGTGCCTGGCTCGAAGGACAGAAAAAGGTGACTGTGCTAGCATAAAGGAAAGAACCTGAATGCAGGATGAATGCGCACCAGTCTTGTCTTACATTGTCCAAAATGGACTGAGTGGTCAGCTAAGTCAAAAATGTTGATTGTGACTCAAAAGCAGGTTAGAAGTGGTTAAGACCATCTCTGAAGACTTAGACAAATACACAATGAAAACTTTTAAAACACTTCCACTGAATTAATGAAGAGAAAGTGAGATACTCACTTTGCATGGTAATCAGTTGCTGGCCTGAGATCATTTACAGTAACTTTATTTTCTTCTCCACTGGAAAGAGATACAAATTTGTTTTAAAGACTGTTTCAGAATTCCACATATTTATAAAAAAAGCCGTATCATCTAACTCAACACACCTTCTATGAAATGTATTTGTAAGAGTTTGTCTTTTGCTAAATATAGCAATTTCTCTCTGAATTTTAGAGGTTTCTTGTGTTATTCCTGTGTTCTTTTGCCCTGGTGGTTTTGGGACACTTTTTTGTTTGTTGCTTTCTAAAGTGTAGCAATTATTTTCTTCTTTACTTAATAAGACAAGCTGCATGTGCATGCATGTATGTTATTACTCAAAAAAACCACTGAAGTACTGGAGCCTAGAGCAGCTCAGTCCAGCCTTGCAAAATCCATTATCTAAAACTGTACCTGACTGCACATACCTACTTGTTAGAGCCTAGGAAACAGAAAAGGCACAAAAATAACACCTGTTACTCTGCTTTTGCTGACACCAGCTTATCTTAGCAAAGGCCATTTCTCTACTGCTAGTTTCTTGGATAGGGATACTCAAATTTCAATTGCATGAAATCCATGGAAGGTGACTAAGATAAACTAGCTAGATACAAAGGTTTATAACTGTTAGAGAACTCTATACCCTTAATTCTATATTTTACTGTCATATGTCTCCAAATTGCAAAAAAGTGACTGAAAACCATTATGTTAGGAATTAAACAATTGAAGACTTTGTTTGCTTTGCCGCTGCTATGAGTTGTGTTCTGTATGAATTTGCCTTTTTTAAAATTTTTTTAATATCATAACACTGTCTCCTACCAAGACCAATTTTAGTGAAGGGAGGGATAACCTTACTGGGAAGAGGAGCATGTGCTGACATAAAAAGTAATAAATACAATTTATTTTTCTCATTACTTGTGTGTCTTACTATGTAAGAACTCATGGTGTCTAGCGCAGTTGGTTGTAATACAGCAGAAGTGGTATTAAAATATGCCTCCAACACGTAAGAACAAAATCTTTATATTCCAGTTGATGGCAGAGACTTCAGTAATAAAATGAAACAAATTCTACTGAAAAAAAGGGTAGCTAATTTCAAAACAGAAGCTATCCAAAACTCCTAATTATTTAACTTTCTGGACAACAAGCAGATTTTTAATGAGGTTTTAAGCCACATATTTCAATGCAGCAGTGACTAAATAAAAATAGCCAACACCTACATGTACACAGTTTTGTACTTTCCATCTTTTCCAGTACTTGAAATCATCACTTCATAAGTATAAGCCTCTGGTATGTCATTCTTGTCTGTGTCTTCTCCAGTATCACTGGATGGAGGGGACCACATCAGCAGTGCAGTTCTTGCCTGAATATCTGATACCTGTAGAAACACAAAGTTTTGACACCTCTGTCATTTAAACTCTATTGTATCTAAATGTTACTTTGCAACAAATGATCAAAGAAGAGAAAGCAAAATCACATACTATTAGCAAATCAGAGTATTTATACTGATACTCTAGCTAGTAACTAGATTTTACAGATGAAATCAGGTTGGAAATGCAAGGAATGCCATGAGAAAAATGCCAGGCAGGGGGCTGAGGGCAGAGACGCCTGTCAGTACATAACGCCACCCAGTGGGCTGCTGAAACACGGACCAGAGCGTTGGCCAGGCACAGGGAAGGTAAAGCACATCCTGGGACAGCGAGCACTTCATTAAACCATGCTTCTGGCACCTTTTTCTTGGAAGCCACTGTTACTATGACTTTAACATCTTCTCGTTTCTTAGGAAATATAGGGAGATGAAGGCATGTTCACAAGGTCGAAGTACATACACATAGAGACAATATCCTGAAGAATTTCTGGGGTGGTGTTTGCCTGAACACCCCATCCATTGCAAAAAGGCCTGGATAAGAACAGTTGGTGTGACAGAAAAAGGAGTTTAACCAGTGTGTACGACCTTCAACTATCCAACAAGGTCCCAGCAGACGAATCATGCTAAAGGGCAGCGACCCTCAGGTGGGTTAAATGGAAATGGGAGAATCACAAGGAGCTCCTGAAACACAGAAGTCATCAGCTTTAGAAGTGTAGAGGTAGCATGAAAATGGGTAATGGGGGAGGTAAGAGATGCTGCAGTGGAACAGAGTAATGATCAAAATCCGGCCTGACGTGTGACAAACTGGCCTGCCAGCGGGCTCGATGAATGCTGTGCACCCCAGCTCGTGCAACAGTATTTTGGGGCACAGCAGGCATGGATTCGCAGCTCAGGTGAGTGCATGTACCTGGTGGAGAGCCTTCTCAATGGGCTGTGGATTAGCAGATTGTAAGGAACAACAGATTCTAAGGAATAGTGACACACAAAGCTTTTGAAGCAGCCACGTCTTCCAAAGGAGCTGTGTGACTAAGGGCACCCACACTCCCAAAAGGGTGGGCGCTGTCTGAAACCCGTAAGTGCTGCAAGAGGCTGAGGATGCTTGTGTGCTTGTAGCTGAGTGCACAGGTGCATGCAGGTTTAGGATCTGTTCTAGAAGAATGCCTAGAAATTTGTGGCTGTTCATAAGTATTGCACATCTGCTATTGTGGTTTCTATGTTGCACCCACCTACTGTTTCCAATAATTTATAAGATAACTCAAAACACATTTCATTACATGAAATTACTAGTTTTACAATATAATCGTAGTGTATGTCTATCTTGGGAATAATTGCTTTTGACAATCTATTACCAGAGTATCAGAATCAAAAAGCTATCTTCACAACTGGTTCTCTCAAATTTCTATAATCTACTAAAACACTGAATAGGTCAGCTTCAAGAATGAAGCAGAGAGGACATGACTTATTGATACCAAACAGAAAGGAAGAAAAATCACACCATGTCTTGGAAACAATGTCACTAAACCGTTATGCACTAGCAGGACTGCACATGGTATCCTAAAAGGGATCAAATATTGGCATGACTAAACACTGAAGATTCTCTTTAAAATCTGGTAAGAAAAATTCCACTACTATCTTGACGCAATCACCAACTCTACTAACGCTATCTATAACCACTGCAGTAAAATTCTAGCATTTCTGGAAGTTTTTGGAGTTGTGGGAAGCATCTGATAAAGTTCCCTCCTGGACAATCTTTACCCCACCCTCCTGAGTTGCAGCAAGTGGCAGGAGATCCTGAGGGAAAGAAATGAAGGTTCCCCAGGGACCTACTGTACTTCAGGACTATTAGATCTATTTTAAGATGATCTGTTCCTAGATTTAGCTACTTTAACAGTTGAATTTTTTTCCCTAGTATCCAAGCAGTGTCTCCCTTACTACCAGCTAAGCCTACCAGTCCTAGCCACTATGGAACTGAACAATAAATCTCTTCTCTTCCTTTTGCAGTTGTTTCTCATGTATTTGAAGACTGTTTGCATTTGAGTTTTCCCTCACCTACAAAATCTGATAATTCTCACATTTCTCCTTATCTCCTACTCATTTTCTTTAGTGCTTTGCCCATAACTGCCCAGAACACCCCATCTAACACTTTGTTAATGCCAAACTGCCACCTGACAGATTACATTTGCATCATACATAGGATCTTTTCTACCTCTGCAAGACATAAGGAAAAATAAGTATTTTTGAAGAGCCAAGATTTAAGATCAGAAGAAGCCACTACTATTACATGCTTTGAGACACTTGAGAGTGGCTTTTTCAAAACACCTGGCATTACTTATTGCTTTGAATGCTTATGCAAACAGCTGCAGTGGATTCTGGTTGCAAATCTGAACACCATGTGTTTCTGCAAAGCAGAGTATAGTACTTGGATCAGGCTCTAGCACTGTGGAAAAAAGAGGTGAGCATGTCTTCATTAGCAATCCAGCTTGCTGAAGTCCTCACTAAATATGTTACACGTGCCATTTGGGTCAAACAAAAGAGCACTTTTAGCATGTGCAATCTGGATTGCATCCACAGTAACTGTGGATGAGGTAACTGTGAGTGAGGTGCATCACATGCCAGAAGTCCACAAACATACACAGAACCAGAAAAGCATGATGTTCTCCAAAGGGATTTACATGCTATATAACCAACCCTCAAATTCTCAGCTTTTATTGTCTCTTATTAAATATTCAGCCTTCCGCATCATTCTTCCATTGGCTTTTACCTTTTCAGGTCTTCTTTTCTGCTTTGTTATTTGGTTAAGAGACATGACAGATGGTGAAGACTTTGCTCCAACACCGAGGTGCAATCTGCAGAACCACTCCAATTTACATCTGAGAACAAACAGTTCAAGACCCCTAAGTAGAAGGCTCATTTGGTGTCAGTATCATGTAATCAACTTGACTTAACACTGCCATGTATGAAAGGATGAGGGATCCACATGGGGAAAAGTTCAAGGAAGTCAGAATCCAACAGGAGTTTGGAGGCAGCAAAACTGATGCACCCCATACTGCGTAGAACTGAAAGGTATTTGTGAATGAAAGTTCATGAGAGACACCACCACCTGATTTAGATGTGCATGCTCTGGACCCAGGCATTGAGACATGGGACAGCTCAGGACAGGTCATAGCCTTCAGCACTGCTCCTTTCTGGAGCAGGATATGGTGCAATGGACACTGTACTGGACAGCACTCTGTATGATCATCTGATTGTATGGCCACCGCCACAGCCAGTACTGCCTGTGCCAGCACGGTTCACCCAGGGAACAGAGTACTGATGATCCATCAAAAACCACAATCCTCATCGTAAGTGCTTCAATCAAAACATTAATAAAAAACCTGCAGGAGTATTTCTGATGAGAACCACAAAGAGAAGGTGTGAAAAAAACCAATGTCCTGGTTCATTTGAGGGAAAGTGAGGAAAACATTTCCTTGATGAAACTGCAGGAGGGTGGCTTGAGATGCCGCAAGACCCAAGTAGGTAACACAGACTCCTATCACATTACACCACACTCCCCCAAGCTGCAGCATCAGCTAGACTTCCACCCCCTCACAGCCCTGGCAGATCCTTGCCTTCATAAAGCATAAACCTCTCCAAGTGCAAGAAGTCTGGCTTTCTGCCCTGTGTACACTCTGAATCTGTAGCAGAGTACTACTGCCTGTGATGCCTTCTGAGGCCTGCAGAGATCACTAGTGGCACACAGCTATGTGCAATGACGTTCACGCAAGAACACGGTGGGGAGAGGAACTAGGGCGCTTGCCTAAAAGGCACGGGTGGTTGAGGCTTGAGGGCAGAAGGAAGTGAAAGAAAACATGATAGTACTGGCACTGCTTTGTTTTTTCCTATGTCATCAGCAATACAGCACACGGCCACACCTGTCGATCTGTTCTTCTCACAGTCTCATTCAGAGAGAGTTCAGAGCTCTCCTTGGCAATGTAACCATTGCTAACACCCCAATTTGAGACAGTTCCCACCTCCATGCTGCTTAGCCACTAATGGCACAGGGGCACTGAAGACATGTCAACCCATCCTGATACTTGGACACAGCAGGACACCAAGTGTCCTCTATACAATCTCTGCTCAGCGCTTGGACAACCACAGAATCACAGAATGGCTGAAGTTGGAAGGGACCCCTGGAGGTCATCTAGTCCAACTCCCTTGTTTAAGCAGGGCCACTTAAAGCCAGGTGCCCAGAACTATGTCCAGACAGCTTTTCAGTATCTCCAAAGAGGGAGTCTCCACAAACTCTCTGGCCAAGTTGTGCCAGAGCTGACATCCTCACAGTACGAAAGTGTTTCCTGATGTTCAGAGGGAACCTTCTGTGTTTCAGTTTAGGCCCATTGCCTCTGGTTCTGATGCTGGGCATACTGAAAAGAGCCTGGCTCCATCCTCTGTGCACTTGCCTTGCAGATATCTATATACATTGATAAGATCCCCTCTGAGCCTTCACTTCTCCAGGCTAAACAGCCCCAGCTCTCTTGGCCTCTCCTCATCAGGCTGTAAAGAAACATATGAAAGAAGAATCAAGACAAGGGCACTAAACTGGGGCGAGGTTGCCTGGAAAGTGAAGGGAAGAAGGTAGGTAGCAGATGATTGGAGGAAGTAGCTGACTGACTGGACAAACCCATGGCAAGGTCCTCCTGGAGTTTCAGCTGTATGGACTACACCACAATGGGGAACAAAGACTGTTTTTACTCAGGCAAGACGGCGGACTCATGATTGTAGTGAAGATTTTTGGAAAAGATGTGCAAATCTTCACAGCAAGGTTGGGACCAGGGAAGGTCCAGACAATGAAAGAAAAAAATCACTGGCCTGCTCTAAAATTCAAGAAACTACTGAATTTGGCAACAGTGCTTTAAAGAATATCTACACAAAAATATGCATCAGTTTTATAAACTGAAAGTATGTTGGTAAATTTTCAAGCAGGTAGGTCAGAAGATCGCTGCTGACAGTCACCTTCTGTGGTGAATTTTATGTCTCTCTTCTCTGAAGCTGCCAAAAACTCTAAAAAGAGAAATAGGTCATATTTTTTCCCTACTTTGCAAATAAGGTTTTACAAAACCTCATTTTTGGTGATGTTTCCAAAACCTTGCCAGGTATCACTCATGCCTGGAGATATACGGTGTGTAAAATTGCTTCCTGAACAGTTAAGGCTAAACAAAGTTGCAGGAAATTGAGAACAGATTCTACAGTATAACATTATGTTAAGCATCATATTCCATTAAGCAGCATCATTATGCTACTGGCAATGTTACAATCTTATATTCTTTAAATAATTCTGTTAATACTGAGATTCACAGAACAGTCAGGAAGAATTCTGCAGTGTAAGTATCAAGACAATTTTAGTTTCATAAATGTGAATACACTAAAAATTGCTTTGGTTGTTTACAGTACAGTGACTGGAAGTTAAGTGAATTGGCTTTAGTATGGAAAATTAAAGACCCTTTAAACTTAAGAGAGAGAAACAGAGGTGCAACTGTGTAAAATAGCAACAGATATAATCTGATTTTATGGAAAGCTTTTGTTACTTACCACTGGCTTGGCTATGTTAGAAAGAAGTGCTTCCAGTGCTTTTGTTTCTTCATCCTTTTCTTAAAAAACAAAATCAAAGCAAAAAAGAAGTACCCATGAATATTGTGCAGTAACTTTACAGTGAAACAGCTCTTCAAATTCAACAACTGCACACAGAAGAAAGCATTTATAAAGCAGAACATCTTGCATTCATCTAGGACGACATGAAACCAAAAAAGCTTCTAAAGAAGTTGTTAATACAAAACTATTTCTAAAGCCCTTCTGTGCTTTATGGAATGCAGAAAGCCTGGTTATCATTTATTAATGTATAACTTTAAACCAACTGCTGTTCTGGAAAACTTAAGATCTTGGATATCTCCCACAGATTTCTCTTTGGATGTAGATGCAGTCAGGTTGCAGTAGCTCAAATATGTTATGGCTCATCAGCTGGAAGCCTACTGGTAACACTGCTGGCCTTCTTCAATTGCAAGGGAAACAATCTAAGGTGTTTTGTGCCAGCTGAAGGTATAGCTGAGCTTTATAAAGGATTTACAGTTTACAGAAAGCATTTTATCTGCTTTTCTCACATAATATTGAAATTTTATTATCTCAATAGTGTAAGTAACAGGCTACTCAGTTTTGAAGGTGTGGCCAGGCATTTTTAGTTCATTTAACCTGCCTTAAACAAAACATAAAAGAAAAACAAAGCCTGACAAAATTCTTCAGAAAACATAGATCAAATCTATTTACAACTCTGTTTCTAAGATGGTTTATGCTGTTGAAACAAATAAAATGCTTTTCTGACTTGTATGACAACTATAAGCCTCCACCTTTTCTTTGACAAGTCTAAGTCTCAGTACATAATTTTCCCCGAAGTCTCCTAAAATAATTTTGAGAAGTGGACATTCCCATTTTTCATGTAAAATACTTCTAAGGAAACATCACCATAATTTTTGTACTGCGTAAACAACAGTACATTTCACCACTTGTTCCTTGTAAAAGTTAGCTCACAGATAAACACCAACAAACAGAAAGTAAACTGAAGCCGAACAGAAAGTAAACTGCCACTCTGGAACTGTAGTGACAAATATTCAGGTTTGGAGCAATAGTTTCCAACTTCTGATTTTAGGCTGTATCCCAAATGTGACCTTTGGTACTAAGCTTGCCCAAGATATCATCTGCACATGGTTTTAAACAGCTCTAATAGGTTGAGATTTCCTGGTTTTGATTAGATGTACTTTCTTCACCATTCTTTTGGTTTACAGCAATCTAACATACATCGGCACAATAATTTTATCTCAAAGCAAACTTCAGAGAATTGAGAAAAATCATGGTTTATTTCCCTCAGCATCACCAATTACAGTTCCTTATTCTGAGAACACTGCTCCTGGCTGATGACAAGTCTTTGACGTCATGTTCACAATCTGAAGGACTATGGCAGAGACCTCAAAGCTGCATAGTGACACATCATCAGATCTGCCAATGTCTGTATGACTGAGTGAATTCAGTCCCTCTATGAGATCACAAGCTTTCCAGTGAAATAAAAGAATAATAAGCACACTCCCTATGGTAGTGTCTTAGAACACATGAACTCACAGGGACTAATGTGAGGACCAGCCTTTTTCTACAAGGGTCTTTCAACAGCGAGTGGGTAGGGATAGATCAATTTTATGTAACAGCAGTATCTCCTTTCCAAAATATTCTTTATCAAGTTGGATGAGTATTTTCTGATTCAGATGCTCTATTCTTTCCATGTTTTCTACAATATCAAGCAGGCCATCAATATTCAGTGATTCCTTAAAATGCAAGCACTCCAAACAAAGCAGAGACTTTTCTTTAAACAGTGCCATGAAGCGTGACTCATAATATTTCCTCAAATTTACATGGAGACTTCCATACCAATAGTTTTTGTTTCCTTAGGCTCACATTCCCATGTGATGAGCACGTTGATCACCCTTAACTCCACTCTATGTAGGGCACTTAGAGGCTGCTACTCAACTTCAAGACTGTCAAAGTGTGGTGTTCTATTTACAAATGTTATGTTCAGCCACTGAAACAATAATATATGATTATTTGTCCAGAACAGACACTGGACTTGCATCATATTAATATGTGTGTGTATGCAGTATTTTTTGATAACACCTACCTTCTACTTCTGTGTCTGTCTGAGAACTGCTTTTTCTTTTACCCAAAGACTTGCATTTGGTAGAACCTGTGCTTATTCCAGCTGCATCCTGTCCTTTTGTAAGTCCATTAGGTTCACTTGTAGGAGAAGGACATTTCTGAGGAGATGATGGAGGACTGTTTAACTTATCCTTCTGAGTTCCATGTCGATCTTTTAACTTTTTTTGTAACCTTTCATATGTTTTACTAGACCTTTCATCTCTAAAGTTGGATCTTCCATGAGCAGGCAGAGTATCTAAATGAAGGAAGAAAAAACAAACCATTAAGAACCAAATCTAATTTTAAAATCTACCTAAAAATGCTATGTAAGTTAAATGTGCACCACTGTGTAAAATTATATCTCTACTCCTATTTGAAAACTGAAGTGTCCTGTAGGTAAACTGATACCATTAAATGACATTAACAATATGTTAGGGAAGAGTGTAATCTTTCCCTCCCCCATATTTTCTCCACTTAAAAATTATTCTTGAAACATTTCTATAATCTTCCTTGAGCTGTGAGGTACAGGATGAAGTCTATACAGAAAAAATGTGCTACTTTACTACAGTGATGTAATGTTGAATAAAAAAAAATCCATAAAGTTCTGGAATGCAGCTAGAGCTCTAATATTTTAATGATGCTTCAGCAGGAATCAACAGGGAAAACACCCATAAAAGCACAGAAACATAGAATCTGTGTTCTATGGGGCAGTGGAAAGACACTAAAACACTCAAGACAGCTCAGCCAGGCCTTGTAAGTACACTACACCTGTACACAGTAATCCCAGGCTTTGCTGGAGTAGCACCAAAGTCTCATCTGTAAGTTAGGTTTAATTTTGGAAAAAGTCAGTACCAGACTACTGACAGCATTAAACTGTGAAGTGGTGAACTCCTCTGTCCAGTTCTACCATTTGTGCTAATTTCACCTTTATGCTTAGAAACACTTTACTGACTCAAGACATTATATATCAAGTGTTTCCTCAGGGTAACCCTGCCTATGATAAATGCTGAAAGCTTTAAAAAATATACATCCTTCAAAATCACCATAGAATTTGCTCATTTTCAGGTAAGTTGGATAAGTCAGTCTGAAGAATACATTATTTGTTATTCCTTAAGATATAAGAAGTACTGAAAATAACATCAAATAAGAACTTCCTTGCAAGGATAAAAAGAAAAAAAATTAGAGAACTTCTCCATTTCAGTTGTTTTTTAAGTCAGCTTAAATCACAGAAGGTTTGACAGAGGACTTCTAGATAAGCTGTGTCTATTTAGAAATGTGATTTTTCATTACCTTTAGAGAGTTCAGTGCTTGTGTCAGGGAACTACTGTGCTCTATGAGGAGCTGGTTGTTTTATGTGTGGTTTTTTTTGTTTGTTTGTTTTTTTTTCCTTAAATTTAGATTCCTGAAATATGAGCCTAACTGTGGGTTTTGACTTTTGAAAGCGACAGCCAAAGTAAGAGATCCAAAATTAAATATGAAATATGTAGCAAATAAATACCAAATTATAGTATTAATACTTAACTTTGCTAAAGCCAAAGGCATTTTACATATACACTGAAAATAAAGCAAAGAATCCCACTTTATAATTTTTTAGCAATTTAGCAAATTATGACTGAATTCATATTTAAAGTGATATACCATGGCAGCAGAAATCTAAAAAAAATATTATTCCATTAAGAAGCATAATTTTATGTGTTTAATTATCATACCCATTTCTTAATTTAGCAAACTAAATGCAAACAACTGCCATCTACAGGAAATCAGGAAATTAATAAAACTACAAATAAGCACCCAAAGAGCATCTAGTAATGTACCATTATCGAAGTAGTAAAAGAAGAAATGAAGTACAACATAAGAATACAAAAACATTAAGAATTCCAGGAAGACCAAGACATTGGTATATTCTTATCTGAGCACTTTGGTCATCCTAGCTATTTAAGCTCAGCAAATTGATGAAGGCCATTTTTAGGTTATTTTAGTAGTATCACAGAATGTTGAATAGTTGTGTTTAACCTCTCTCATCACAGCTTCCAGCTTTCTCTAAAAGCAGAAACCTAGAACTGCTCTCAAAGTCTGTCAAGGTTGGCACCTGCCTTATCTAAAGAAAAGCAAGTCTACCAGAAATGTAAATATTAATCTAACAAACCAGCCCCTGAGTTAGAACACAAATACACTTTGCCTCCAAACCACAATAAAGGCAGATGTCAACAGCACTACCAAAAATGGCTTTAAACATTTCATTAAATTTAGTTTAGTGGCACCTCATTACTCCAACTGATCTTCAAAGGGACATGCAATTAAATGTGTATAGTTTTATGGAAAATGGACCACTTTTTTCCTTAATACTAAGAATTCCTATTTCATGCTTCAAACAGGATGTTTGCAAGAAACAAGATCTCAGAACAGTGCTCAGGCAGAGATTTAAATGCTGAATCACTACAAACACTTTCTGAATCACTTTCCTGGGAAAATCTGTAACTTGTACATGTAAGAAGTAATCTCTAAGTTTAGTGTTTCACTGAACAGACAACCAAATAAATTTAAAAGAACTTCTGGAATAATAAGCTTCAGCCAAATCAAGGCTGGTATCCACATAAAATTCTTTTGCGTACGACTCCCATTGAAGCCGTACGTCTTGCTTAACAAAGCCACACAACAACAGAACGGATGCCGGAAACGAGCAGAACGTTATTCGCTTTGACAAAACTCGCAATATTTGATGAGCTACTTACCCACATCCCCATAGACTTGAGAAGCGTGATACTGTGGAATGTACTGCGTTGCCATGTCACCGGCTCCAGTCACAGGTGAGTATATGTGACGGGGTGGAGGGGGTATCATGGCTGGAAGAGGAAGGAAGCCGGGCAGTGGGGGATGTGGAGGCCTGTGTATCACCGTGTGACCGCCAGGATGGAATTCTGGAGCCTGGGGAACCACCACGACCCTTCGAACACCGTTATCCTCAATAACCTGTACAGTGAGAGACACCACACACCAAAAGAGAAATGACAGTCTGAAAAATATGTTTCTATAGATCCTTAAACAAAATCAGGAATAGTAAACCCCTTAAATCTGATGAAAATAAAACAGGAAATAGCAAGGGGAAAAAAATGGACATTGAAGAACTATCTATGTTAAGTGTATTAACTGCAGCAATGCCATTAATTTCTCAATGTGGTGGGGAAGAAAACTTAAAAAAGATCTGACTGTAAGAGTATCTAACAAACAACCTGGTGTATTTATGGCACGAGTCAAGCTTCTCCTATGGGTCCTGTTTCCATCCTCATTCACACTGCCTGCATGCTACACTGCTGTAGGATTTGTACTACAGCTTAACAACTAGATTGCTCCCTAGAAATCAACTGGCGAACTGACAGACCTCACTCTGCATCAATAGCAAGAGAAAAGCCAAGAAGTGTCTAGTTTTTGTTGTGTCCTCAACTCAGCCCACCAACACTAACCCAGGAGACATCTGCCCATACTGGCCCTGCAGCAGCCACCATCTGCATCAAGCTGTTAGCAAACAAACTACCAGGATGGTAGTCAGCTCTCTCAAAACTCCTTCACAAGCCAAATAGTTCTAAAATTTTTTGTCCTTCTCCTCGGCATATCCTTCTACCTGTAAAGAGGTCTTGAATCCTGAAGGAAGTCACATGCTACTCAGAAAACAGGGACCTTTGTGGCAGGCACTGGCAGACTGTAGTGCAAGGGATTGTGAAAAATTAGCAAACGGGAGATGCGACAGCAGCCTTTGTGTGAGGTACCCGAGTGTGGCCCTTGGCAATGCTGGCAGAAATTCCAAGCAACGGCAGTAGCATATGCAATCCCATGGTGAGAATCTGTAAGATGCACGGAGCTAAGGTGTGCTGAGCATGGTACTTGCAGCACGTCTGGGCTGTGCAGCACGTGGGGCTCTGGTGGAGAGCAGGCACAAGGGCACAAACTGTACCAAGTACTGAAGCAGAAAATGTTCAGTAAGGGAGGGTGGGTCATCAACTAGACCAGGAACAAGGGTCTGCCCCTGAAGGACCTCACGTCATTACCCTCTCTAATGTTTGTAAAGTCACATAAATACATGACTGTTGGTGACACCTAGAGATGATCTCGGCATATTCTGACTTGTGTGCATCGTGGTGTCAGTAACTTTAGTGCATGGGATGCCAAAAAATAAACTGTTCTTCATTTCCTAGTAAAATGCTGTAGAATAAAGTCACAGCAGAAACTGCAGTGGAAGGTTTTAGATGGAACATTTATCCAGAAAAGGGGGAGAAGAATGGAGTATCATGACTATATTCAATAGCAGGGGACAAATCAACCCTATGACATAAGTTTTCACTGACATTTGAAATGAGATGGGGACATGTACACATACACCAATAAACATCCTGGTGCAACAGGAACAGATCAATAGATCAAAACACTTAGTGCCAAGCTGCTTTCAGCTCCACTGTTTAAGGTTAATGGAATCATGCTTGGCTAGATTTAGCCCTGTACCCTAGAGTGAATGCTTCCATCAAGTCCGTGACAGAAAGCTGCTTGGAGGATCATTGGTTTTACCATGTCCCCATTAGGGGTTGATGTGCATCTGGTACATCTGGAACAGAGCTTCTGATTTTGTTTTCTCTGCCAGCAATCTAATTTGTACAGCCCCAAATTATCCTGCTAGCTGAACCAATGCAAGGTAAGTGAGATCGGTACAGGAAATTGTTTCAAAACTTCACCGCTGTGCTGAGAGAAACAGTGCTGTAGATAGAGCTGCATGCTTCTGTAGGATATGCACATGCAACAACATTCAGAAGACACAGAAGTGTGTACACAATAGAGCTGACCCCACTTTACTTAACAGACAGCTGGAAATTAATGTTACCCAAGTGAACACAGCTTTAAAAAACATGCATACCATATGACTTTAAGAAATGGGTTATTTTCAGTACACAGAAATTGTTCCTTCTTGGGAAAGAGTAATTAAAGACAATACAATTCAAATCTGTGTAACCATAGCTGTGTGGTATCCTAAAGGCAGAATATATTAGCAGTAAATATGAGTAGAACCTCTCCTGTCCAATGAAATTCTCTAAACACTGAAATGTAGTTTTAATTATTTAAGTCCCTTTTGGTTACAAAACCCTCAAATACTGCAACTTATTATGATTTTATGAGTAGACTCAGATTATGTAGGAAGCAGCTCCTATTAAAAAACAAACGAGCTGCTTAGTTTACAACTTGTTTCCTCGGGCCTGCTAATAGCCTAAGTAACTTAGAAATAGTCACCCAATCCGTAACAGCAGGGACCTTATGTTTAACAAGCCTGTAACTGTGCTTCCAGATATAACATCTGCTCAATGGTAGGCCTCTAGCAGACAACTACACAGATAAAAATGCTCCAAAAAGCAGCCAGAACATCATGCTAAGTCTATAATTTTAAGTTTAAAAAGTAAACAAGTTCTCTATTATCCCAGTGGTGCTAGCAAAATGTAGTTCTGGCACAGGCCTGTTTGGTTGAGTAAGCCAACCAAACATCACTGGAAAACTCACTGCAGACAGTGAATATAGATGTCTTAAGAGAGGATGGATAAAGATGTGCTTTCTTTCAGTTTTACAACTACAGTTCCAAAAGAAGAGGAAGGGAAAAGGAAATCAGCTGATGAATCACTTTTTAGTTACGTGATATAAGAAAAGTAAATCTTTATTCAGTGGTTATCCCCAACTTCTAACAGAGGACAGTACAATGTATCACTGCCAGACAGGAACTGAAGCAAGCAGAGGCATAATAGAACTAAGTGAAAATGGAGAGGCAAAAGATGGTTATGTTGAAGTTCTTCCAGGCTGACAGCTTAGGACATTTAGCTGGTTTCCTATTCAACAAAAAATATAGTTGCAGCTGCTGACCTTTAAAAATATACTATACCTAAAGGAAACCATAGAAGTTTGCTAGGACTGCAGTAAGTCTGGGAAAACTCTTAGCTTGATAATGTTTTGCAAGATTGCTATCAAATCTTCTGGCTTGTAAGAGGAACTCCCACCATAAACCACAAAGTCTGGTATGTTTTGTCAGTAATAAACACTTCAGAAGGCTTATAAACTACAGGTTGTCCTGGACTACGGTACTTCTGCTCAGATGAAAACAGCAGATGAGCTCATCCCACCTGCACTCTGAGCTGGAGAGACGTGAGGCACCTTCAGCTCAAAGGTCAGAGTGCTGTGCTAAAACAACAGCTGCTTGGACTAACAAACTCCAGTGAAAGGCTAATGAATGGGCCTCAGCAAGGCCCAGCCCTTCAGCATCTTTGATTCAAATTGTCCTCAAAGGAAGGACAAACTAATTCCAAAAGTATTTTTCAGAAAGGCACATGTTACACAACTTTTAAAATATGTACTTCATCAAATGAAAACAAATAAGAAATATAGTAAAATTCCAATTTTCACTTGGCTCTAAACTTCTTTCAGTTCTTTAAAAATTAATTTTAATAGGCATCAGAACTTTTTACTATGGCCTGTAGATGTATGGACTTTTAGTGATTATTTATAAGTAATTTTTCTTCTTGCTTGGGAACTCAACTACAAAGGATGCATAGAATCAACTTATCAGTCAACTTCCATGAGATGAAAGATAAAATCAGAGCAGTAGTCTGCCTGCCCTAACAGCCTTTTCTTTTGCTAGAGGGTAATTTTTTAATGCTGTTTAAATAATTTGTCCAACATGTGCTGACAGCGTGGGCTTTTTTGTTGCATGTTTATGCATTGTAGTCCCTTCTCAGTGTACACCATTGGATGCACACTAAGTCAGAGACAGACTGGTCACAACAACAGAATGTCTTGAGAGAGACTTACATCATGGGGAGTGGCGTTCAACTGCTCTGACTTCCACATCTGACCTACTAAGCTCTAGACTTGTTCTACAGGCAAGGGAAAGAAACAGGCACCATCTCAAAGTCCACACATCTCATTATAAACTCACATGTCAGAAATAGCCAAGAGAAATCATCCTTTTAATCTACTTTAAAGGATGTCCAGGTTATCTAGCTCACATTTAATTTCCAAGCATCTAAATTAGGAATCACACAGCAGTGAAAAAATGAGAGCCCCATTTTCAGATAAGTGGTGGAAACACTTATATGATAACCTAGTCCCAATGGACTGCTGACATTTTTTCCATGTTGTTTGCTGTACTTTTTCAACTGACCTGTTTTTCTGCTTATCTACAAGGAACTTCCCAGACATGAACTATGTACATATAAATTATATATTATATATATATTGCTGCCAAGAGAAAATATCCACTAACACAGGAATCAGTACAGGTCCTGCACAAACATATATTTGGGTCATGAATGCATTTTATATTCAGAAGGCATCTAGTACATTAAGATTGTGAACTCAGCAAGGAACTGTTCTTGCTACTGTCATGTACGTAGTTAAAATATAACTGAACAGGCACAGACAGGGCATGAGAAGTCTCCCATCTCAGAAATACTGAGAGACATCTCTTATCTCCTTGCTTGATCACACCGACTGCAATCTAACAAATTAAAATAATTTAATTAGCAATTATGGTTCCAGTTCCAAAATTTGCATGAAAATAAATCAATTAAGAAGCAAGTGAAGTGACATACCTGTGGGGCATATCCAGGAGGCACATAAATAGTAGGCACTGAACCATTTGGGGACATCATTGGAACCTGAGCAGGACCTAAGTGGGTTACAGAAACATTCAGTACAGCACAATTTAATAATTTGAAAAAGCTAAAAGAACATACTGAGCAGCAAAGTCTCTGTGAAAAATATACAAGATAACATGGATAAACAAAGGCAATGAACTGTACAGAAAAAAATATAGCAAAGGGCAGTCTTTGGAATCTAAAAAACCGTTGAACAAAACCAGAAGCAAGCTAAAAAAATCCCCAACAGACATTTCTCCCATCTCTGTCAATAAACTCATTGAAGAGCTCATGTAAAAACTCAACAGATGACAAATCAAAAGAAATGCCCCAAGATGAAACGAAAATAGAAGAGACTATAAAAAAGAAACAAACAAAAGTATTAGAAACAAGCTGATGAAACCAGATCATATTCAGTTAAGAGTTACAAAGAAAATTATTTACAAAATGGCTGGTTTTTACTATGGTCTTAAAAACTAAAGGAGTCTCAGTACCACAGCAGCAGGAGGTGGTGAGTGAGACATGAACTTAAGGTCCTGGGGAAAAGCCAGTGTATTACCAGCTAGTAAGTCTGCTTCAGCTAAAGGAAAATGTCAGGATACCATGGTGATCCTTGTTCCATGCAAACCATAAAAAAAGGAGTTTACACACACTTAGATAAATATGACACAATGGGAATGTGTTAAGGTGGCATTTGTAGATAAAGTATTTCCTAGAAAATCAGATCCCTTCAAAGAGCACAGGGATGCTGTCACATACTTGGATTTTCAAAAAGCTTTTGACAATGTCTCTCAAAGACTCTTAAAGAAGTAATGCTGAAGTAATGCTGCCTTTGGTTAGAAAGGGAAAAGGTCTTTCCATAAATAAATGGAGACTGGAGAACAGGAAGCTAAGAGAAGTGAACGATCAGTTTTTGAAGTTCTTCGAGTGACCAAGAAAAGTGTCCCACAGGCAGGCACATAAAGAACCTGTTCTGCGTGTTAGACAAAGCTTCCAGAAAAGAAAATGAACAGCACGGTGAAAAACTGTTGCTATGCTCTCAGAGAGCAGTAAAGGATCTCACAGTACTCACTGATCAGATGACAAAAACCCAGAAGGAATAATGTTAGTAAGTGCAAAGTGATGCATCTAGATGAAACCAGAAGTGTTTCTTTACAGCGATAAGCCATAAATCAGATGTAAACAAACATACAATGCAGCTACTACATGGATTTCTAGAGAAATACCAGCCAAGAGTTGTTTAGTGGTATTCGCAGAAAGAAAGAGAACATTAAAAATCATTACTAACGGAACAGGGAACAAGCAGAAAACATCATTATGCTGTGGTGTAAATTCATGCTGTACCTCAAATCCTTGAGAAATGTGTTTGACTCCACCTTTCAAAAAGAACACGCAGGACTAGAAAAGGACAAAAAAAATGTTCACAGTGGCTTTCCACCTGTTTATCAGGAAAGATACAAGAGACCAGGAATACAGGATTCTTCCACCAGAAGATGGTTAAAGGGCTGGCAGCAGAGAAACAGTAAAATACCTATTTAAAAAAAACCTAAAAATGGAAAGATAGAGAATTTACAGTTTCTCATTTGCAAGAACCAGAGACAGTAAACTAATTCACCAGGGAAACAGAAGGGAATTTTTCACAAAATGCACAGCTAAATTGTGTAACTCCTTACTTTAAGAACAGTGTAGGAACTAAAGATCAGGTTCAGTTTGGGAGAAGTAATCCAATAAGAACTGTAAAAAATATAAGTACTACTTTTACTTAATGAACAAGCAAGTTTCTTCTGTGTGCCTGCCCTATCCTTATGCTGTCCTCTTCAGCATTTGATACAGAGTGAGCACTTTGGTACAGGTTCAAGAGGGGCATCCTTACCTTACTGTGTTTTAAATACACAAGGGAACAAACACAGAATTTTAATAATGAAAGAAATACTGAAGCACAATATAATTTTTTTTTGTGACAGGACAAAATGTTGGAATGCAACACTGTAGGCTGCATTCTGCAAATTTCCAATTCAGTATTTTGAAGCTACCAAAAGTACCAATCCAACTTAGTGCAGTCTCAGTAATACTTCTGAAAGGGCATTCATAGCTCCACCTTAATGTTTTTTGAAACTCTGTTAGGATCTGCAAATGGAAAGTACTAAGTAAATGTGAAGTACGTAAATAAGATTAGCACACCTCACTCTGATACATATGGACTTGTCAGAAAAATAAAGGTTTGTCTGAAAGCAAAAAGCAAGAAAAAGCAATGAAAAGCACTCCTTAGAAAAGCAGCATGCAATCCAACTTAATTGCATGTATTACAGAAACTTCTTTAGAATAAGACACAGAAGTTTGCAAACATGCTACCTAAAAAGAATCACAGCTTTATTATCAACAGAATGCTCACCCACAACAGGGAGAGGGGGTGAAGAGACTTTTTAAGAACAAGGTCTTTAATGAATTATTCACTGAACTGTGCAACAGCGAAGAATATAAAGACTACAGTAAGCTATAAATTGAGAACTGAACATTCTTCCAGCGTTTTTGCTCATCTGAAACTCAAATATGTTTCAGCCAAAGTTTCTCCTGAATATGAAGTGCTAAAAAAGAAATGAAAGTGAAGCAAAAATCAGCAAAAGAAACTTAAAATAGTGCCTTCCCTCACTACAATAAAATCAAAAAGGTCAAAAATAATGGAAGCACGTTTAAGTTGCCATTGAAATAATGTTTTAAAGTCTTACATAAGAAGGTGGATTTTATACAACTTCTATTTTGCATTGCTTACCTGCAGTCTTTCTATAATGAGTACAAAACACTTCCATTAAACTCACAATTTAAAACTACGTAATTTCCAAGTAAATGGAAAATTAAGACCACATTTACTTGAACTTCTTAGAGAATACCATGTCCTTGGGGGACGAGGAATCGCACATATGCAAGCGGTTTCTTTGAGAACTGGTGATTACCTTTGTTTGGCTTTTCTGTTTTGTTTTGCTGTAAGCATTTAGAGAATATTGTTTAACAACCTTTTTTTAAGGTTTACTTATTTAGCACTTTAATCTCTCTGACAAACACAGAGCAGTTATCTCCCATCCAGTACAAAGGTTGATCCACAAAGCCATTTTCAGTATACCATAACTTAGCAGTCACAAAAGTAAAGGCATAAACTGAATGTACGAACCAGAAAAAATATTGAAGTATTAGAATAGAGTCAAATCAGTAGTTTTAAAATTTGCATCCCATCTTTTGCATTTTAAAGTACCAGAATCAATAAAAACATATTTGAATAGTCAAGAACTCTAATTTACTTCTGATTAGATATCCAAGTGGCTGTGAAATGAAATTTCTAGGCGGACATCCAAGAAAATGATAAGCATGGGACAAAAACTCGGCAGACTTCACAGGTGTTTTGAATGAACATTGTGTTTTACAGCAAGATTACTGATTTTTTGATAGGAAACATATTACAACCTGCAAAATTTTATCTGAAGGTAAAATTATAATATGCTATAAAAATGTGTGTTTTTTCTTCACTAATGTGAAGATCTTCAGCTCCCATATGGTATAACACACTGTAAAGAAGAATTTTCATGTTTTTGGGTATTGGCTGGACCGCTGCACGACAAAACCAGTGTGTTTTACCATGAGGTGAGAGTTATTATGAAGTATCAGCAAACAACAGCATCAGGAATTCACGTTAAGGAAACATCTAATTTTCCATTGCACATAAATAGAACTGATTTAACCCAAATCACTATATAATTAATGTTGATGACTTGATTGTTGGTAAGGGGAGGTCTCAAATCTTTGACACATTTTCAGGTATACAAGTTCCTCACAGAGGAAGTGGAAAAGAAACATTGTGGGAGTGGAAACAAGCACATAACTGGTTTACTTTATTACTGAAAAATGTCTCATCAAACTCATTAAAGGTTTATTTAATGGAACTGAACCCAAGACACAGCTGTTTCACCACACTCTCAATTTATTATTGTCCTAAAATCCCACCAACGAGGAATACCTCCTTCCCTAAGCAACAGCTGATAAACTTCTCCAACGTGTCTATTTGAGCAGACTATAAAAACCTCATTATGCTCATTACAGCCACCATAAACATGCAGCAAATTTACCAGCACTGCATCATCGCTAGGATCGTGACAAGCTGATCTAAACATAGCAACACCTGAAAACGTGAGGATACCGCCACCGCTCGCCTAGCACACACACCATTCCTTTTTATTTCAACCACGAAGCATCTCTCCATTTAAAGCGGCTCATAAAAGCCCAGGCAAAGGTGCACACACCGGATTCCCAGCGCCGGGCAGGGAATGCTCTTCCGGGGCACTCAGCGCCCGGCCCTGCGCTCCAGCACCCGGGCTCCTACGGCCTGCCACAGCTGGGCGTCCTGCTCCCCTCACGGCTCCGGGGCCACCGCGGCCCCCGGGACCGCGGCCACCCCCCTCCGAGAGCGCACCAGCGACAGAGGGGCCTGGCAGCGCTCCGACTCCTGCCCCACAGATTTTTCAATTTTTTTCTTGGCCTTTGCAGCTCTCCCCCATCCGCCACTGCCGCACAACCGCGGAGGCCGCCAGCCCGCAGGTGTCGTGTTTCACCGCGGCGGCGGAACCGGGCAGGCGGGAGTCCTTACCGCTCATTTCGGGCCGGGCCGAGCCGGCCGGGCCCGCTCCGCTCCGCTCCGCCCCGCGGCCTCTCCGCGCCCTGCGCCCCGCCCCGCCCGCGCCGCCGCTTCAAGGGCCAGCGGCCCTGCGGAGAGCCGTGGCCCCTGGTGTCCAGCGGGGCTCCCCGCTCCGCTTTGTACTGTAATCTACCGCCTGTCGCTGCCTGGCGTGATCCGAGTCATTTAGCTGAAAGCCCTTACGTTAATTAGCATAATTAAGTGCTAAAGAATTACTTAGGTCCAGTCCTTCCCGAGGATTTTCCTTGAGCTGACCTGCTAATCAGTTTACAGTTAAGAAAGGGGGTGCACAAACAGATCGGGTTGCAAACAAACACCTTCCGGCCCAGCGTTTGGAGAGCTGCAAGGACT